AAAGTAGTTATTACGGTTTTCACTTAAATAATAAGTGAGTATATGTTCAGAGAAAAGAATAATACATAGAAACAAATACTATTATAGATTTTTATGATTCACATCACTGACTGATATTATACAGAAATTGAAAGCTGGAAAGTGTTAGACAGATTAACTAATTGAAGTAAGGTCTATACGAAATGTTTAATCTTTAACTGCTAGGTCGAAATATGTTTAGTTTAGTTCTAGTGTAATCACGGATGAGTACTAATGAAGAATCGCATATTAGAATAAAACAGTTATTTGATGCTTCTAGGTTTTCACTGATTACGTAATTAGGATTAGATCTATCTAAGGAGTAACTAGACCTTTTGTAAGACTGAGATGTATATACAATTGATTGATCACTGAGTAGTGACCAATATCATGTACGTCAAATCGTTCTTAGTGAGTGTTCATAATGTGAACAGTGAAGTTCAACAATCATCATATACACTCTATGACAATACTACGGATTTTTTTTCTCAGTATTTTGTAGCTTGAATAATTTTTTCTGGTTAGCGTTTTTATAGCGAGTTAGTTTACTACGGGATGAGGACGCTAACTCCATGCCCAACCCTCCTCCTTTATCCGGGATTGGGACCGGCAGTAGCCCCCGGAGGGACTCCAGGCGGAGTTGATTTTGCATTAATGCTATAAACCTGATTATCTGGATAGTTCTTATTTTGGATTTCATTTATTCTTAAAAGTTATTTTTCATAAAAATTTTCATATATTGAAACATATGAAATAAAAATCAATATTCCACTGTAAAGTATCTTAGTAACATATTTTTGAGGGCGAGACTCTAATTTATGGACTAGGTGTTTGAGAGATTTCAAGGTTACGGTGCCAATTTTAGTACTTAATGCTAACGTACGATCGGTTCACAGGGAATTTTGTACAAAACGTGATAATTGAGCGGCTATAACAAATAAAACGACGGACTATAATTTGTGGACGAATCAATCAGGAATAAGATAATAGCTCTTGGATTTTAACGCGAAAGCCTTTCATCCACTCGACTAAATAAATTTCTGGCATTACAGCTGATGTCAGTTTGTGATGAAAACCCCATATGTAATTCCTAACTAAGGCAAATTACGACAATTATTGCGAACTGGATAATAAAAGTACCAGTCACACTGGCTACAGCCAAGTACTACAGTATATACGGATGTTTGGTTATGTGCATCATGTCGTCACCCACAAGTGGCATTTTGTGTACTCAACAACCGGAGTGCACATAAACAGTATTGAAGCTATGTGGTCGAAGCTGAAATAGTTTTTGAGACTTAATCATGGCTCCAAAGTCTGACTATTCTGTAGCCATATGGATGATTTCCTCTACTGCATGCATTACGATTTTAGAACCTCTGAACCTCTTTCTAACCTTAACAAGTTTTTGAATCACGTATAAGCAGTGTATCTATTTTATTTGCTTGGTTTTGTATAATATATTTTTACTCTATGCTGACTGTTTGCCGATTGACTAATATTTCTCAAGGTTACTTAAGATTCGTTCAAAGGTCGTCCATAAATTAGGGTCTAGCCGTCACATTTTGTGTTGAGTTATTTTGTGTTTATATTAATGTACTAACGAATTACTGTCAATATATATTTTTTTGTTTATTTTAAATCTATCAGTAGTCGAAAGTTTGTTATCTCAATTTTTCCTTTTCAATTATAAGTTAATTTTAGTTCCATTTGTCATTTATTCGGCTATATGTATTTGATACAAAAGACTATTCGAAAGCAAAAATCAAATTACGTGAACATTTAATCATGTAAATTATTTGCATGAAATCTATGTAATTTGGTGAAATATCTCTTAATCACAAGATGAAATACATAAGAAGTTTATTAGTTCTTTCCATACTGTTTAGTATTATCCCATAACGTACATGATGAATATTTAATTATCATGAATATGTTTATGTATATTTACTGATGAAAAATATACCACATCGTTGATCGGACAGATTTTTAAAAATCATTTTGTTAAGGTTTTCTAGCAATAAGTAGAGTTTTATGATCATTTATATGTTTATTTACATTTTACTAATGGAATGAATGCTACTCACAAAATTGTTTGTAAGTAGCCTGTTGCGAAACGTGATCTCAAAGTTGTCGGACGTAGTGAAGAGTTTCAATACAACAATATTACGGTATTGACAGAATACTTGAAGGTAGGATAAGAAGACAGTTTGAATGGCGGGACATACTGAAAAATGAAAATGGACGATTGAAATCCTTGTATATGTAATATGTTAATACTTTATAACACAAGATTTGCAATCTCTCTGCCTATTGCTTTCTTTCACATTAGTACATTAAGGCTTAACAGAACATTTTCTGGGTTTTTCTAAATAATTCCCCAGCTGCTATCAGTAGGTGATGAAGAGTGTTAACAGTTTTTATATGACACTGAAGTAATTTGTCTTTAAATTGTTAATTTTACTGAAGTGTTACATTCAAATATCAATATTCTAATAGCCATTACATTTCTACACTATATATTATTTAATTAATTCAGGAACTGATCGATAGTTTGCCGAAAAGAAGTACCAAGATTAAATTATATCAAAAAGAATGTGAAGCATTAATTAAACAGTTCCCTACAGAGGATACTAGTCGGATACGTGCTGACATGGAACAAACAATAAAACGTTGGAATGAATTAGAAAAATCGTAAGTGATCTCATAATGAAAATTTTGTATTATATAAATGAGTTTACATGAGCAGATACTAGTAAATGAAACTGTATAGAAACTGATTGATATAAATAATTGAACTATAATTTCTTTTTGTTCTTCCGTTTAATTATCGGTTAACATGGGTCCAATATATAGTCACATTATTATAAACCTCTTGCTTGACAATCAAGGGTCTGTTAATTAGGTCTCGAGCAAGAAGATCATACTAACTAAAGATATTTACATACTACCAGATAAAATGAAAATAGGTTTTTAACACATTAATTTAATTAAAACCAGTCTCAAAATAGCATATACATATATCGTCTAGTCGTTAGTATGATTACTTCTAACATAAAATCATTATAAGGCAAGATTAAAGTCAATAGAAAAGTGCATATGGTAATCCGGAAGAGAAAAACAATAAGGATGACAATGAATCCTTAACTCACTGATCTTATGAGATACAATTATATTTTAAAGTGAAAGTAATCAACAACAATCATCAATAAATAAATATGACAACTGAGCCGGCATCCAAAGGTGTTAATGTCTAACTTCAACTAATCCATGAAATTGAACGACACATCCACCATTGTCATCAGTGAGTTACTACCTCACAACAGACCCAGTTGAACTCCACTAGCCGTGGCGTCGAATCCCGCCAGGTAAGATCGTGGATGTGCACTGCTGAGGAGTCCCACAATAGGACGAAACGGCCGTCCAGTGCTTCCAGGTTTTCCATGGTGGTCTAGTTTCAATCGACTCATGATCTCAACTATGATCTTCATAAAACTACTGAAAATAAATATGAATTAAATATAGTATTACTAATAGCAACATTAATGTGCCGAATAGGTAATTTTTATAGATAAGACTTACTTTATTTTTGCTTATACTTTCCGTTTAAGGAAATTCCTATTTCATAAAAACTATTGTAATTATGAAAGCAAAATGTTTGATTGTTAATATTGAACTGATTAGTTAGCTTTATTATTATTATTATTATTATTATTATTATTATTATTATCATTATTAGATTTAAATTTTATACAATAAAAGCAAATGTGTACTTTTTCTCCTATTCTTTTATATAATTTTATTTGTTTAAATATTCACTTTGGGATTAGTTCTATAATTTCCCAAATGTGAGATATATATATGTAGTTATTTGCCAATGTAATGACAATAACCACTTTAGTAATATCATGCATTAATTCATCTTTTGATAATATAATAGAACTTATGAATAGAAAAATTAATGAATTCATATGACCTAAATTAGGTTTTTGTTTCTTTTTTCTCGAGAATAGTTGCATGGTAGTACATTTTTATTCACTATGGAACAAGTTAATTTTGTCTGTCTTTTTTATACTAACAACCATTGCTAAAAGCCAAATTAGTATTATTAATGATATTAAAATAATTATCATGAAATATATTTATATATGCAAACGGGACTCGTATGTAATGTGGTCATTTAATTCAATTAGAAAATTATTACAAAATAGATATCCTGAGTTTCTGTCAACTTGTATAGCTGCTTCAATGCATACTATGTAATAATGTTGTTGAATGACATGGATTCACTTTTATTCATTGGGAATTAAAATCTGTTGGTTGAAGATGATTTTTATCATGAATGCACATATGAAATAAAACAGTTTAGTAATGTATGGAACACTACAAAGCTGTTTTACTTTAGTCCGAACCTACTCGGTAGTGTTGAGCGTTCATGGATTTACAGAAGATCTAATTCAGAATCTTCAGACTATGTGGAAAATATAATACTAATATTCAGTTGTTCATATTTTGATATATATCATCATCCAAATTTAACCTTGTCAGTGAACTACTATTTTACTACCGTCTTAATTGAATTCCACAATTGTAGATTTTTTTGAAACTTTAAGAAATCCACTTCAATATTAACCATAAGTTGAACATAATATCATCATATATATAAATATATATAACTACTACTCGATAATTTTGAATAGTCTTGCCGTAAATTAATGCAATCTTATTTATGACTAAATGAATTTTTATGTTTAAAGCTTGCTAAGTTGCATTAAATTGATAATTACTTACGACTGCATCCGTTAAACATTCAATATTATTTTGTTTTAATCGAAGAAAAAAATTAGAAAACTATGTATATCTGAAAATTATAAAATTCCATCTATTAAACCTATCCAATTATAGATCCTACGATTTTGTACACAACCTTAATCGTCCGAAATCTCTTTCTAAACTAACGTAATTCATTAAAAATAGGAATATTGTAGTCAGATAGTATACATCACTGATGTATACAGTTAAGAACTTTAGATAACATGATTAATAATCCAAATATACTGTATAAACTTTTCCCTATAGTTTTGAAATATATTTTAGATTGTTTTAAAAATATATATATACAAATACATATTTTCTATATGAAACTAACGTTTAATTATTCCACATCCATCCTAACAGACTAAATCATTATTAGGCTAGTTAACGTAATCACCTTTTAAACAAAATTATGTAAAGTAAAATCAATTAAATATAATGGACAATCACATGATAGAGTTCAAACTCATGTAGACTAATTTCTAACGGCAGTTGAATCTGTTATAACTTGTGGCCTGTGTTCCCTGATGATGTATACGTAATGATACCGCTAATTAGAGAGCAGTGAATTATCAATCGGACCAATGACGCATAAAACACGTACGAGCAGTCTATAGTACATAACCGTCCTGCTTCCTGCCTAGCCAAACCAGTTAGGTCCAGAACACAAATCTCAGCCTCTGCAACATGAATCATGTATTTCAAACACACTGGGTTTATATACCAACCAGACAGACCACATCGTACCATAAAATATGAAACAACATTTGTACAGGAATTAGCCAAATATGGCTGTGAATGAGGGAGGTAGTAATTAATAGACAGGGCATAATTCAAGAATGGTAAATCATATAATAATAGTTCATAGGTCAAAATAAAGTTCATAATAAGAAGGACACGAATATGAACAGTTTAGTTATTTAACAATTATACGATAAAATGTACGCATAGTATTGATCCACAAATGGATCCCAAAAGTTACCATTCATTATGCTTATCGGGACATAACAGAATCTTAATTGTGTTAAAAATCAAGTCGTTATTACACTTCATATATTGTGTAATACAAAAACTCTTTTTTAAACAATTATCCTAACCAGTTATCTTTTGAATATTTTCTTTAAAAAATAGAATTAAAAAAACTAAAACTCTCTATCTTCATGAAGCATTACCACAAGTACATGATCATTTTAAAGAACAACAAACTAAATTAAAAGATCGAAGAACATCCAGTTCAGATGGTATACGTAAACCAACATTAAATGAACAATTAGAAATGATAGAGAATAAATTTAATCAAATATCTAAACTTGAAGCAGAATTAAATCAATCTGGTTCAAATATGGATAATCAATTATTAATTGAAAAAAGAGCACATCTTGTTACAGAATCACAAGTATTTATTCTATTTTATTGTATCATCTATTTATTTTGTATTATATATATATATATATATATATATATATATATATATATATATATATATATATATATATATATATATATATATATATATATATATCAGTTTCTAGCCAATCCTCGTCCTATATTGAATAATAAGAAAGTTCAATGTGATTTTTGTTCAAATCCTAAATTTAAAACATAATATCGTTTCATTCATTTTCTATCGTTTGTTTGAGTCGTTCCATTGATGATTAAGATTGAAATTGATTAGTCTTTTATTGGCACATATGCATCTTGTACGGATTACCTCGAGATTGCTTTAAGTCACAAGCATTATAAATAAAAATGGATGGTGGCTAGCAGTGGGATTGAGGACGCACGTTTCGTTCTATTCGGGACTCATTAACTGGATGTATCTACATCCCATAGTTGATGTTTACTCCGGAACTCAGTTTTATAAGTCAAAACACTAAACAATAACTCAAAACTTGATAAAATTTACTCATTGTTTATTTTCAAGGTTTTAAACTAAATATGACTTTTAATTTTTGTCAAATATTTGTCTGAAAATTAAATGATACCATTAATATGTAAAAGGTTTTATTCGAAATAAGCTTACTGATTGAAATTTAAATAATTCTGATGTTTCACCAGTCAAACTGATATGAATTTCTTTAGAGAAATGTATGTTTGAAGTTCGATCTTTGTCAAACTGATCATTCCAATGTTGACGAGTACTCCTATAATTGATTTAAATGATGGTCACAAGGTTTCCGCAATTGATCAAACAAAACCATTTAAAACATAAATTTTATTTGAGCAATTCAAAGAAATCTGTAGAAGTGAAGAACTACATATTGATCTCATTTAGCTTTGTAGGTGTGCACCATCAAATCATCCTAAATGACGACAAAACAACTATCCAGCACCTAGTGATTTATATCAGTAAACAAACTGATGTCAAACTATGATACAGACTTTTTTCAAGTTTAAAAATAAAACACTACAAATTGCTTGTTAATTGAATAGGTTTGTTTTCAGATCACTGCATTTGTAGTTCCGTGTGGAATTCATCCTATCGGTGTCAAGTACTTTTATTTTTAAGGGAGGAATATTAGTAAGACTCATCAAAGTATATAAAAAGTCGTTTTTTTAATACTTTTTTTACGATTACCAATACTTAATCTCATAAAATAGTAAAATTTTAACACTACAAAATAATTACGGAATATTTCAAGTGACTTTATGAGTACGTACCAAATGACTGTTCCTGATATTCGATCTAAATTAATGTGACTTTTTAAAAAAAAAGTACATTAAATGTTTAAGGATCATTCATAGATTTCATGACAGTCTGATGTTATTCTTACGTTTTTATTTACAATCTTAAACCATTTTATTCAACGTAGTCTTACCATCATTATCATCTTCAACTAATTATTATCATACTCAGTTTGTTGATCTCACCATATTTTCTTAAAACTGTTTAAAAATTCTCATAGAATTTTCAAAAATGGAGAATATTTGAACGGACGTTTGTTTTCAATCACTTCATCATCAGGCTCCATAATTATGATATTTTACAAAATATGGCATGTATTAATGAATTTGACAATGTGATATGCTAAAAATAGTGGATGTTTGCATCTTTAAAATCATTAGAAAGGTCATTCAATAAAGGTCAGAATAATTTAGACTAGTGTCAAGTCACAATCAATATAATAGTAACAACAAAGAATATCGTGTGAATGAAATGCATAGTAAAAGAATTTCATCTTGTTAATCGAGGTAACGATGATAATAATGATATCGTTGTGTGAATATGTAATAAGAGGGGTGTTAACAAGGTAATTACGATTAAAAAGGAATTCATATGAATTGAGAAAGATGGATGTGAAGAATAGGAGAGATATAAACGCGGAAGGGATTGGGACGGGATATCAGAGGTTTATAATATCCAGTTTAGGTATCCGGTGATGCAGTCGTAGGCTAAGGTAAACATAGAGGCTTGATATATCATTTGTGGATGTATAATTTCGGTTTTCTGGAGTTGATCCAGATGGCTTCGGCTATGTAGAGTAGCCGTGATCTAAATCACTGAGGTAGATTATTTGGAACTTGATATAAAGTAGAGAAAGCTTCCACTATTTTAGTATGATGTTCACTATCTACCAAGTGAGAAAGAGGAGTATTGTAGTAACCCCTTTTCTCAATCATGCTGGCACATGTTTGAGAACACGCAAGGATAAAGCCCTCTGAGTACGGCCTATATAACTAGCTCCATAGGAGCAGTTGAATTGGTGATAGATGCAAACGTTCGCCATTCTTTTTGAGTTGTTTGATTTTTGCTTCTTGTTTTTCTAACTGATGGATACTAAATTATTGAAATGGCGAATATTTGTAGCTCAGGTGGATGATTTTAATGGAGATTTTTTCTCTGAGCTGGATGGTTTGGTCGTGGAGCTTTCATCGTTCTTCTGAACGACATCATCAGCACAAACTTCAGATAGAAGTGAAATGTTCGAATTTCTCCATATGTGTTTCACAGCTTGTTCTGTGCACCTCGATGTTGACTGATTCTTATTGACCCTAAATTTGTCATTGTTTACTTCTTTGTTTTGGTTATGTCTCCCAATCGTTTGGTTTTCGTTCCTATATTTGTGCATGATTTTTCTGATTGGTTGGTAAATTAGATTGATTTCAATATGCTTGTTGATTGCTGATCGACCTGAGTGCCAGGCTTCTAAAAATTCTCCGGTGTTTTTGGAGTTTCCTCATTTTTCCAATCTAATGAGTGTCCGCAGTTGTCATGACTAAGTCAATCAATGCATAAAGCATTTATTAGATTTGATAACTTCATCTATCTTTAAAATGTATACTTTTGAAAGGAATTGCAATTAAATTCTACAGCATTGTGGCATATGTGAAAAGCAAACAGTAGTAAATATCTATTTTTTGTAGAGTGAGACTTTCTAATAATGTTTATTCTTTATCACATGTTGATTTCCGTTAGAAACTTTCAGGTTGTCAATCAATACAATTTTTAGTTAGCTGGTCTACAACTAACCAAAAGTTTCTAACTACAGGAAATTCATTTTATTATGTGACCGTCAACCGTCTTAACTAATGACAAGTATCAATTTCTTCTGTTTAAACAGTCACGGTAATAATAAACAGTATCGGTAATGTTAGAAAATATCTGTCATCAAGTGATTACTTGATTGTTTCGTAGCCTTTCTGAGCTTTTTACGATTCCATATACCATTCCTAATTTATGTGAATTATTTATTCATAACTTTCTAGTATTGAGAAAATAGTTCGTTATGAAATCTATTGTTTAGAAAATCAGCTTGATTTGCATTCACTTGTTATGAGAAAAGAAACTCATCTCCTTGCAGCTGAACTGATAAGTTTGCATAAATTGAATAAGAGTCATTGTCAAAGACGGAAATCTCAAGTTAGGAAGTTAATTTATTCCTTTCATTCTTTTTGGTAGTTTTAAATAAACACTGTCGTTGACTTTATCTCCTAAAACCGTACTAAAATACTGAAGTATTTTTACTTTATGAAATTATAAAACGCTCTTCTTTACGCTTTCAGTATTACTATCTAATTCGTCACGTACTTGAATGTATACTATAAAAACTAACTCTTTAGATGGGCTTCAGATGATGTTAGCGATTGATTATTTCATAACCTAACAAATGCACAAAAGATTAACTGTATCACATTGATTTAATTGATGTCACATTATACAATGTACAATTTTATTTATCACTAACACTAAGACTATGTAAGAGGGAATGACAGTGTACTATTTAGGTTACTGAAATCGATAGATATCTATAGATAAATCTCATACTATTAAAATTCATTATGGCCTATTTCTTAACAAACAGAGAATCCATATAATTATGACTATTTCCTATCCCCAATCATATTTTTCTACATCAAACCCAATCACAATTTCTTTTATCGATCTTTGTTTGATAGAATAAAATCTCAGTGTGGGGTCGTGGAGATTGTTGTGTTTCTGATTGAGATCACGCATCGATCAATGTTAAATCATTATTAAAAACCTGCAAACAATGAAAGATGGTTTCGCCCTAGTACGGGAGTCAGCAGTGTGCACCCACGATCTTACACATGGCACTCAAACCCAGAACATTTGGTCTCGTGCACGAACACCTGAACCCCAGACCACTGAGCAGAAATTCAACGGTGTCAGTGTCCAACTTTAACCAATCCCTTAAATTGAGCGACCATCTCCCATTGTCCTCGGCAGGTGACTGTTTCACGCCCGACATGGGTTTGGTTCACTGGTCATGGTTTCTCATTAGAACTCCGACAATAACCTCTCAAAGCTAGTTACTATTGAGCGGGATTGTGGATGCAAATCAGTGAAAAGTCCCGTACTAGGACGAAACGGCCGTCCAGTGCTTCCAAGACTTCAGTGATGGTTTAACGTTGATCGATTCATGATCTAAATCAGAATACGTTCTGTCAAATGAAAACATCTAATTAATGTGCTATATAAACTTTTATTAGATTATTTTAATAACTTGAAGATTTTTAAAAATTTGTCACTATGTGAATTTTATTAACTAAATAGAGAAATCAAATAAATTAAATTTTAGATCTAATCCATATGTTTCATTATCTTATAGGAACGTATGATCCGAAATGAAATAAAACTTCCAGATGTTAATTCTAGAACTTTTTTTAAAAGTTTACTGAAATATCAAATTGTCATGATTCAACATGATCCTGTGTTTGATCAAATCTATTTTGAGTTACTAAATCAACAATAAAATTGTAAATACACAGTATTGAATAGTAAACAATGTGAATTGATACATGATGAAATATTATCTAATTTGTGATTTGATAATGATCTTCGGAATTTAAATAATTTCATATTATTAAAACAAAAAATAAACATCAGTTACCTATAATAGGTGACAAACAATCAATATACGGATTATAGCTAACAATAGTATCCTAGGTTTCATGATTTGTTTTGATTTAGGCTCATGAGATGGGTATATCTAGAACTTAATGTTGATGCTCAATTAAAAACGACTCATTAGCTTAAAAAGAACAGTAGTCATGAGTGATGATCTATAAAATACATGTAGATTGGGCTACTATGCCCTATACAAGGTGAATCAGAGAAACTACCATCAAATACTTAGTTACATATTCTATTGCATTATACCTAACAAATAAATTTCTTTGATGTCATAATTTTTGTTACTTTCGTTTATTAATTTTCCTCATTTTTTGTTTTAAAGACACTACAAGCAGAAATTAATATGATCGCTACACAAATAGCCAGTAGTGCAAAATCTTCAGCACAAGCATTAAATGTTTTGCCTAATCAAGAATTTTTCAGACGTTTACGTCAGTTAAGAGATAAAATTGCCAATTTACGGTAAGTTTATAGTGAAAAGAATTTAGATAATAACTATTAACTTGTTTATTTTTTGTAAGATGGCCAATATTTTTTTAGACATCTTATTGACTTATAGGATGTTTTCAATAATCATGTAATAACATCTATAGAATTATCTTTAATTGTAGTGTATTTGATGGGTATTCTCTCTTGATAAAAATCACACTGTAAAACTTTAAATCTCTTTACTATCAATTCAGTAGCCTTTAATTATCATGGCACATCTGTTGCTATTTATTCATTTATTTGAAAACATATTCACTGATACAAAGGGGTATCAAGTCAGTCAGTCAGTCAGTCAGTCAGTCAGTCAGTAACAACGTAGAACTTTGTTCGCACGTACATCTGTTCGAGTTGCCATACCACATTAGCACAGAGATGCAGTTGTCTTTTCAAATCCCATAGCAGTAATAAAAAAAATTAGGGTTTGAAGATGTTGTTTTAGAAGTATAATCCAGTGAAATAAATTTGGAAATTGAAAAAAAGGAACACAAAGAATTCAGAAGATTAGAATTTATGACAACACAAAGAGTGAATGTACTTGCGCAATTGCGAACGATTTTGAACCATCTCATTCAATGTCTCTAACCATCGGTTGCTATCATCTCGCGGATCCCGGTTGTTAGCGAAATTATCACGGAAAAAGATGGATATATTATTCATTCTCAATCCAGGAGATTGGATCGATGGGCAGAATACTTTATGGATCACTTCAACTGGCCTTCAGTCAAACTTCGATTTCCCACGACCTTCAGACGACCTAAATGGCAAGTTAATGTAAGTCCTCCAACTCTTTACGAGGCTGTAAAAGGTATAAAAAATCCGAAGCATGGGAGAGCAGCAGGCCCCTACACGTTTACTCCTGAGATTTTTAAGGATGTTGGACCAGTTTTAGCAGCGGGATCGACTTCTCGTCTGCCCACATCGTGGAAGGGAGTTTCTGGAGGAGCCTGAAAAGGAAGTTGGATTATTGTTGGTCTCAACGACCTGGAAGCATGACCGCAGAGCCAAAGAGACAACTGCTTGAGGCCGGCCGCGCATGGCATTTTTGTGGGAGATTTTTAACATGTAAGCTCCGTTTTTCAAAGGGCCTTACTATCAGAGACGGAAATCCTTGAGGTAAAGTTAGGCGTGACATTTTTAGGACTTATCTTTTCTAACCCCCTCCTTTCTTGTGAGAAGGCAGCATCGCTGTAGATGCTGGTCGCCCGAGGTAAACACCTTACTGCTGTCACACCCCTCTACAGTCAGCAGTACGACTTCGCCCTCAGACCTTGTGTTGCTACTTTTAGTCTTACCGTCCTCCAATCAACCTGCCTGGCATGATAGAACCTGCAGGAACATATGTTCCAGACAGTATAGCTCGGTCGGGTCATCACGATAGGCAAGGAGGATCATCACGTCAAGGTAGCAGCTAGGGTCAGGGTGGTATCGAGTGCATATGTGCCATACAATAACAGTGAGGCCAGTAGTAGTTATTATTAATTTGTGTGAGGGTTGTCACACTGCCTGAGCGCCTAAACTGAAGAAGGTGGTTTACTTAAGGGACCATACCTCGACTTTTTCACCTGAAGGTCTAATCAACAAGACAGAAAAGCAACGTTAGGAGATGCAGTACCATGATAGCCGGTGATCAACAATAGGTTCATACACCTTTGTTTCTTCAGGATCCTTGAACCCATGTGCATCATTGGTTGGGAGTCAGGGTTTTCCAACTCCACTGATATAAAGTATGTACATGTATTTCATTTTAATGGTTAGTACTGTGGTTTCAGATTGTAAGCAGCTGAGGATGATCCACGAAATAAATGAGTTCAGATTATTCTGCTACGACATTTGTTTTTTGTTTATTCAAATCTATAAATTGGAAAAGTTGTATGTTATTAATATGAATTGTCAAATAAATAATAACTTTTTGCCAGAACTTCCAAAATCCTCAAAGTTCGAAGACAGCCATTATAGTAAGGTTAAAATCTATTCACCTGATGGTTTGAGCACTCAGTTACGTAAATGACAGCATTATTAAAACATTGTGATGCATAAATTCGCTTGGTACTGTTTACTTGAATCTTCCCATTGGTGTTTAGGACTGAAATTGATTTGTCTCTTATTGACATATGTGCATACTGTGCGTGTTGCCTCGATATTGCCTTAATTCACAAGCATTGTAAGTAAAGATGGATAGTGGCTAGCAGTAGAATCGAGGACGTGCGTTTCGTCCTATTCAGCACTCATCGATTGGATGTACCTGCATCTCAGAGTTGATCCTCACTCTGGGATTTGAACCCAGTATAGTTGGAGTCAAACACCACCACGTTATCCACTTAGTTACTGAGTCCCGATAATGCTGATGACTTAAGGCAATATCGATGCAGTCTTTACAGGATGCACATGTACAGATAAGTGACTGATCAATTTCAATCCTAAACATCAACGGAAAGGTTCAAACGAACAATACAAAGTAAATTCTGACTTTAACGATATTGAGAATATTTGAGAATAACTCAATATATAATTTTACAAGAAATCTAAGAAGTTTAACAATGAAGTGGATATAATCCTTACTCCCTAGGTTATGATTATAAATAATTAAATGATAAAATTGGAAAAAAACGTCTAAATACTTTGGTTACCAAGTACAATGAAGGATAACTTCATACACCTTTCGAGTACAAAGTTCATGTTTAAGCCTTCTAATCGCAAGGGTTTCAGTCAATTTTAACGATGTAGTTTCGAACTGTCTGTTGATTACTTTGTACCCAATCACATAATTCGCTTTATATACTGTCTCCATAGGATAATTCGGTAAATGTCACACATCAACGTATTTATGCTCTTGTTCAAATTAACTTTCCAACTTTTCTAAACTTCTTCATAGCACTGGTATCATCTTTTAACTCAATAATAACTTTTTCTTCTGTACTTGTACTAATCTGAAGTACATCTTATGTCGTACTATTGCGTTTTAATCGGTTCAATGTGCAAGGTTTGTAGAATTTTATGTGTCGACTGAGATGATGGTGTCTCAAGTACTCAATTTTCAACAGTTTCAAACTATTGTTTCATAAATATTTCAAAGTTTGTTTGTTTCAACATTATAGTGTCAACTGAAAACTCGTTAGTTTCGTATATAAACGATATTTTTATGCATAACCAATTAAAGAATAAAGCCTAATTTTTATATGATAAATGGTGTTATCATATAAAGTCGACATGTAGCCACACCTATTTTTAAAATCCTACGGAGGCTATCGAATTTCTATAAAAAATAGGATTAAAAGTGAAATTCAAACCCTAATGTCAAACAGCTTAGATCTTCATTCAAAAATGACTTGTATTATTCTTTTAAACAACAACAATCGATAGCAAAACAACGATCATTTATTCACATACTCCCAATATTTGTTATCCCATTATTTTTTAAGTGATTGAAGATATAGAACAGGGGGTCCGTAAGCATAGGTCTCGTTCTAACTGATACGCATCAGGATCCAATATCATCAGCATTGAAAGGATAGATGCTGTTCATTAGATTCCAATCCATATCCCCTGGTGTTATAATCAGAAGTATCATCACTTCATTGTTAGGAAGAGGCTGACATCCTAATTCATGATTTAACCCTATGAGTGTATGAATTTCTTCAGAAATGAAGGGAACAAACTAACATAAAGCACACGGACATTCTATCCAATGTTGTATTTACCTAACATTAATAACTAAGTGGGCCGTAATACTGAATTATTTGGTCTAGTGTAAATATATTTATATCCGTACGATTAAATAAATTCTTAATATGATTTATAGTGATCATTTGTTAACATAAAATATCCATTCCTTTTCTAAACTTACTTTTATTTTACAATTTACCAAATAACCATAAATAAAAGATTGTAAAAGAATTTCCAATTATTCTTCCTGTCTTCATTTTTTTGTTTTACATCAATTTAAAGTCAGTGCTCACTATTTATTCTCATGATCTTTTTTGTTGTTGTTGTTTTTACTGTTGAATTGACAATTTGCGTTTTAATGCATTCAGACATGAAAAGTATTAAAGTTTGCTTGTATATCTGTTTAAATGTATGGATTTAGAATTGTTATAACGATACACATCAATATGTACTAACATTTGATAACATTCAGAAAATATAATTATGATAAAGAAGTTTCTTGACTGATTTTCGAATATTTTTGCAAATAACTTTACTAAGACGAGGTAGCATATATATATGCTTTATAAACATTGTATTCAAACTACGCAGAACATTGACATATATCCTTAAAATGTCAATAAGACAATGATATTAAACTGTTAGTTATCAACTATATACATTATCATTATTACTACTAGTAGTAGTATTACTAGTAGCAGTAGTAGTAGCACTAGTAATACTACTAGTAATGGCAGCAGTACTAGTATTGTAGTGAAGAAGAATACAAATCAGGACAACTGAATTATATTTAGCACAACATTACAGAGTTACTTGGTAAAATAGAAAAATCACACTATAATACCTAATTTGCAAAATGTTCAGTAATTGTCTCGGACTTCATTGTTCTTGTATTTCTATACTAATTGCTTTCTATCCCCGTTTCCTTTCTTGATCTTCCCAATTCTTCTGCTGCGAGACATTACATTCTTGACTAGCGTTATATACTACTTATGTGAAAATAAGTAGCACGCACCACAGCATTAGTAGTAGCAGTAGCATTAGTATTAGTAGTATTAAGAGCAAAGACATTGACATAGACAAACAAATTGTTTGTTTCTAAATTTAAAATATATCGAAATAAATCTTTCTTTTAGTTAGTTTTTTTGTTACATTTTCCAAAAGTTGAAAAATAAAAGATTTTTAGTTCGTGAGCACATTCAATTCTCATTGTTCTTTTGAATATTGGATTTTACTTTCAAATTTGATTATTTTTTTAGAAAAAAAATCTGTTATATATTTTTGAAAATTTATTTATTATTTGAATGATATTTCAAAATTTTATTTGGTTTAAAGATATTTTATTGTCACTGAGTGATTTAAACAAGAGATATTTTGAACTTTGAAGTATACTGAACAACTTTACTTCAGTTTTAAACTTGTCAGCGGTGTGCGTTGATGATGTCATATAAGATAAAACTTATAAGATGGTGAAGAAGATTTGTAGCTCAGGTAGATGATTTTGATGGAGTTTTGTTCTCTGAGCTGGATAAGTCATACAGTGATAAAGATGCTTTCAAACCACTGAATGGAAATTCAGTCATCGATATTATGAATTTTTTTAATTCACAAGTTAATACTACCATCATTCTGTGTTGAATCGTATTTCGGGTTGTGATTGTGTCCTGTTAAGGAATTCTAAAGTGTTGTGAAATAGCTATTCAGTATCCACTGTATTTATTTGATTCATTGGCTTATATCAGCCAGGGTCAAGAATTATTTCGTTCACACATTCTGACTTAATTATCTTTCTGTCACTTCCATGCTATCGTACATCTAGTACAATGATTCTGTACGGTTTTAGATGTAGAAAGTCGACTTTTGTTAACGATGATAGGTACTCTAAGAAACCTTCATTTCCTTATTAGGTAACCACATTTAATGCGTTGACAGACAATAATTTTGGCAATTATATTCATTACTGTTATATTAGTTTACCAAGAAAATTATCTTTCCTTTGATAAATTATTTTACTTTAATGAACATATCACCAGTTTAAATGTCCGATCGGTACTTTATTAATTTCTTACATAATTACTATATAACTTAAAATGTTTGAGCAATAGTCACACAACATTATCGCATATAATGGAAAATCGAATAAGTTCTTCCTTGTGTTGAGAATAAAGTAGTCTGCAATTCATAATGAAATTAAGTTCATTATGGATCAGAGATAATATAATAAGCTTATCAGTGAACATTCTATAACATGTAAGTATATATAAAAGGCCTTTTCCAGAATTCACTTATATCAGTTTTAGAATAACTGGACAGGTGTTTCAACACAGTTATGGTTTTATCACTCTTGTGTACAAACGATCATACACAAGACTTACCATTAAATGTTTATGAATGCATATGATTATTAAAACAGAAGTTGAATCTAATGATTCAATATCTCATAGTCAGTAAATTTAAAAAATAACTCAGCTTTCTAATCGATGAATCGGAATCTTACTTCGAACATGATTGACTTTATATGTTATAGCTCGTTGCTCAACTTATAAGAATCAATCTTGTAGCAATTCAGTGGTCATGACAGCTTAAATGCGGAATTATTTCTTCAATTTCTTCATTTCTAATGAGTAAAAGAAATCTTTAAATAACTCCCACATTCATTTCTTCCCAATTTTTTTCACACAGACGAACGATGCAGTTGAATTCTAACCAGTCACATTTATATTTAACGAAATTAAAAAAATTAAATGATTGGTTATCACATAGAGATGCTGCATTTCATGAAATTCTTGTACCGATTCAAGGAGATATGGGTAATGTAATCAGCTTGAGAGAAAAGTTATTGGTAAGCTATTTCAAAAGAATGTACATGATAACTTTCTTAGTTTTATTGAACGGTTACCGCAGTTTTAACGTTCGTTAATATATATATATATATATATATATATATATATATATATATATATATATATATATATATATATATATATACATTACCAAGTTTATGTTGATTGTTTTAAGTATCTGAGACCAGTGTAAACCTTGATTCCAATTACTTCATTATTCAGTGTTCCTTACATTTAGATACCGTAGTTGTTGATATTAGTACATTAAAAATGTTTGAGTTTTATGAACATCGTCCAACATTAACTGTTATCAATTTGTAATTGATAACGATCGTCATCACAGTGTACTCATTATATCATAAGGGCATCCATAGTTGACTGAATTTTAAAATGTGAATTATCGAAATCAGCTTGGTATGAAACTTTCATATCTCAGGCTCAATTACAAATGTGGTCTTAAATGCATAGTAGTGAAGAGAGTTAAACTATTAGAAGACAAAATCAAGTATTTCATGGTTTTAGACGGTTTTCTTAGTGTAAACTACAATTCAAATGGTTATACTTTCAGTAAGCGTCTAACAAAGATGATCATTTTGCTCGAAACTTATCTAGTAGTTTGTGTTTTAACATTTCTGTATACTCAGAAAATATTTGAAAAATTACGGTGAAAAAATATTAAACAAATGACTTTTCCCCCGTTTATTTCTCTTACGTTTAGTTAAAAAGATTAAACTTCTTTAAAAAAAACCGTACATCAGTATCCTTCATATCGTCTTTTTACATACCCATATACTATTCATTTTAAAACATAAACCATATTAAAACAATGGTGAATAGGATTGATCGAACAGAAAATTTTTTTAAATCAACTTGTTTTGGCAAATTGTGAACTAATGAGACTAACAACAAATGTCACGAAAATAAACCTTGTAGTATTATCATTGGTAGTTGTAGTATTAATGGTTATGATGGTAATAATGATCATATTGATATGTATTGTAGTAGCCTATGCTCTTCCACGAGGATTATCAGGTGTAATTAAGTAAGCAGTAGAAAATATGACAATGAATCGATAAATGATATTAAGATAACTTGTTTTGTCCGTCTTTTTTCCGGAAAAAATATACTATATTTCACTGTTTAGGTGAACATTATAAAACCAATTAACAGTATATATATATATTGGATGGACATGACTATACTCTTCTTGTGTTGAATATTTTTCCTCTCCTCTTTGGTTATTATATTCGGTTGTTAAATTTTCTGGTCCATATATACAAACGAAAGAAATCTCTTATACCATTAAACTAAATGAAGATGCCTTCATTTTATTTATTTCATACGTTTTTAATTAATCAAGTGATTTAAATATTTTGTTGCACCAAAAACTGGGTTTAATCAATGAACATGATAAATGTTCTAATGAAACTAGGTAGATGAAGTGATGGCTGGATATCAAAATTTTTGTTAAAACCTGGAGAAGACAATGGTGGACGGTTGAACGATCTCGTGGATTGGTTGGAGTTGAACATTAACACCGTTGGATGCCGGCTCAGAAGTCTAAATATTGAGCGTTTGCATGCGAGACCAATAGATCCTGAATTCAAATCTTGCAAGGATGCACAGTTCTGAAAAGTCACATACTAGGATGATGGTTAAGCTTCACTTAACGCATGAATTTTTTGTAACATTTCTAGTGAATAAATAAAAAATCATAAACTCAAACTCAATATTTACTCATTATATTATCATTTTTTAAATGATTCTTTAAACTTAATAAGAAACCTATTTTAAAAATGAATCATTTACTTAATAAGTACTTAAATTAATTTCAATATTTCAGTGAAGAAAACATGAATTACTGCACTAAAGTTAATCAACATGTTGAAAAAATGATCCCTTTTATTGAGTTCTATATTTTAGTTGAAGTTAGACATTAACACCCTTGGATGCCAGCTCAGTGGTCTAGTGGTTAAGTGCTCGCGCGCGAAACCAATAGGTCCTGGTTTCGAATCTCGCAGGGGGCGAGGCCGTGGATACGCACTGTTGAGGAGTCCCACAGTAGGACGAAACGGCCGTCCAGTGCTTCCAGGTTTTCCATGGTGGTCGAGCTTCAACTGGCTCATGATCTTAACAATTGAAGTTCTATATTTATTTATTTATTTTCCATTGATTAATAACATTTCAATCTAGGTTCTTTGACTTTAAAGTAAACTACTGATTTCTTGCACATAGTCTATTTTAATTGAAACAACTTTTTTTTCATTTTTTATTGAAGAACACAAAATTTTGTATTATGTTAATATTCAAGCTAATGAATACTGATAAACTTCGTCTTTTCATTGCATTATCGAAATTTATCAAAGGGACTAATTATTTTAAGTATTGAAATCATTGTATGATATGGTAAATTTCAATAATAATTAAGTGATAAACAATCAACACATAATTCTGAAGATTCTATTAATTCTTAGAAAAATCTAAATATTTTTGGATTGAATTATAATATGAAGTTATAAATTAGAAATGATGTAATATCTGGTTGCTATGATTATGTAATTACCCAATGAATTGAAGTTTTTATTAGTACGTTAAATGATATTTATTTTATTTTATTTGAATACATAAATATTGGCACAAGAGGGCACCAAATATATATGTGCCACACTTTGTGTGATGGCTGTGATGCTGCCCGGGTGCCCAGACCGAAGCAGAGGCCATCTCGTTTTATCTTGGGACTCCCACCTCACGGGATTCGAACCCAGGGCATTCAGTTTCATGCGTGAACGCTCAACCTACTAGACCACTGAGCCCGTTAAATGATATAGTATATGTGAAAACGTTTGCAGATTATTCATATACTTAATATTATATAAGATAACTTTTTTTCTTTTTTTTTGTTAAAAAAAGGGTTTATTTCAAGAACTTAATACAAATCGCTTACAAATTGAAGAAATTTTATGCCATCATAATACACAACATGATAATGTAAATCAAAATAAATTAAATGTTTCAAATGAACGTGAAACAGAAATCGATTCCGATTTATCCGATTCAGGATGTAAAAATAATATAGAAGATAGTAATTTACGAACTAATCGTCGTATAACACGTCATTTATATCATTTAAAGAAAAAATGGTTAAATTTAAACAATAATATGTTAGATTTTAAATGTCAGCTTGATGGTATATGGGAGGTAAGTTACTTTTAATATGAATTTCATATTATTATTATTTTTAATTATGTATTAATTGGATAGTTCAAATATTATTTTAGATAAAGTTTCTAGTTTTGGATTACAACTTATTGTCTAACATGAATTGATTTTATGTATAACTAATGGATTTATGTTTAATCCATGTTAAGTATAGTCGACATTATGACAATGATAGTAAATAAGACTGTCTGTTCGATTGATTTTAGCAAACATTTTTTAAAAAAATTATAATAAACCCTTGAATTTAAGATTCCCAAGTCTAAATCTTCTGAACAGATAGATTTTGTTTTGACATTATGTTTTTGATTAAAATCACGAGTCAATTGAAGCTAGACCACCATGGAAAACCAGGAAACACTGGACGGCCGTTTCGTCTTAGTATGGGACTCCTTGGCAGTTCACATCCACGATCCTGCCTCGCGAGATTCGAACCCACTCTTGCGTCAGCCGCTTAACCACCTAGACCACTGAGCCAATGGTGTTAATGTCTAACCTCAACCAATCCACGAAATTGTGCGACGATCTTCCATTGTATTGAGGTAGACACCTGTTTCTACCAGGTATTACATAGTTGTCTAGCTACAATTGACTCAAGATTTTAATCAAAAACTTAACAATCTCCACAACTCCTATATTGACATTATGTGTTAACTATGTATCTGGAGTATTTACCATGTTTATCATTTAAAAACTGAAAGAAATTTTCTGAATGACATATATTACACTTCTTAAAACATTAAGTATTCTTTAAAAATATACTGTACACGTTCTTGTAAGTACGAAATAGCGGTTATGAGTGAAATAAAAATAAAACAATCCATTTTAGATATTTGGTTTTTATTTTGTATGGTAAAAAAAGTAGTTGGCAATAAATATTTTAAGAAAATTAATTAGAATCTTTGAATTCTATCTCAAAAAGAGTTCGAAATATAAAAAAACAGAAAATTCAACAATGGTGTAATTTGAAAGGTATTTTTTTAAATACCCACTTTCATTAAACAAACAAAGAAGGTGAAAAGAGCAAGATTAAAGATTCTAGCAGGATAGCATGAATTCATTTTATTTCGTTGGTTTTCGTCAACTGCTTACAATCTGTGATGTTTAAAAATCATAATTACAAAATGAATTTAAATGACGTTTAGTTGGAAGTTATATTGAAGACACATTGATGTAGTATAGCAAGGGTGTAAATAAATTTAATAGACTGAATATTGTAAAAGAATATTCTACAACATTGATTGTGACAACAGTTCAAATTGCCAGAAACATGTGATTACATAATGAGTAAACATTGATAGGAATAGAGTGCGTAAAGTTTAGTTAATAAAATAAAATTACTAGTCTGATAGTTAGTTGAAATAAAAGTCAATGATGTAGTAAATCCAAGAAAGAGTTTTAAAAAAGTTTAGGATGCAACGAAGGAATATTGGTCACCAAGGCAAGAAAAGATTAATAACCATCACTTGTTTCTGGCCGTTTGAACTGTTATCACAATCAACGTTGTAAAATATTCTTCTACATGAGGTATATATTTACAGTATTCAGTCTATTAAATTTATTTACACCCTTGCTATACTACATCAATGTGTCTTCAATATAACTTCCAACTAAACGTCATTTAAATTCATTTTGTAATTATGATTTTTAAACATCAGAGATTGTAAGCAGCTAACAAGAACCAACGTAATAAAATGAATTCATACTGTTGGGCTAGAATCTTTGCTCTTACTCTTTTCAAAATGATAAAAGAAACTATATGTATAAAAAACCGTAAAGTTCTTTTGAGAATTCGTATACGAGGTTTAATTATAAAAGGTTTTACTCAAAATCTCACTTTATTTCATAGTTGTTTCTTTTTAGTTTTTTTCATAACTATAAAAATCTAAAACATATAAAGAATTCAAATCATGGAGATTTGTAGCTCAGGTGCATGATGGTTTGATCCATCTCAGAGAACAAAAAAATTCAGATGTTCTAGGTGAAATTTTATCTGAAGGTACACTGTTAAATTGTAGTTTCTATCCTTTAGCTATTACTATATATATATATATATATATATATATATATATATATATATATATATATATATATTATTGTAGCCAGTCATTGTTTTTAACAATCTCTATTCGAAAATAATTATTTTCGAGAATTAACCATCTATCGAACAAATACATAAAATATCATATAGTCGCAATCGATTGATCACTGGGTGGTGACCAATGTCATGTGTGTCAAGTCCTTCTTTGTGCAGATCAAATGCTATCGGCCAAGTAGTCAAGTAGCATGAAATCCGGTTCCAGGGTTTCTTGTTAACTACCTCCAACCACCATGTAATATCATATAGTGTTAAGTTATTGATAGTTATCAGTATTTTAGATTACATTAACATATCTTAGTTCAAATATTGAATTGGTTATCACAACCACTATTGTACAAGTAAACCTAACTGCATTTTCTAATATTTTATTTGGTAAATGTTTTCTTTTTACTTTTTAGTATATAAATATATTTGAAATAATTCAATAGCATATAAATGTCCTCCTTTTTTAATTTACTTTTTTCTACTTTGAATAAACAAACAATTAGCGTCTATCCAATTTTAATTCATTGTTAAATGATGCTGTAGCTCAAGTGAAAAGTGCTGAATCTGTAACATTGAAATGGATCCCTATAGAGTTTTTACCAAGTGAACATATAAAAACTGAATTAGATCAAACAAAGGTTAGTTGATTTTTATTTACGACAATTATAATAATCAACTTAAGTGTAAACTAAAATAAAAACAGGGGGATTGATGTTATTTTAACTAATTGACAAACATATTTTCAGACTTCTTTATTGTAATTGATGAGAGAATAAATGTAGTGTTCACTGTTTGCATTTAACGTAACATTCCATTCAATGAAAAGACTAACTTTTTAAGATCTAATTTAAACCATAATATCAACATTGTAAGACATTCATAAAATATTGATGGAATGAAAGGAATTGTAAAACTACAACACTGATTTATAATAAGGTACTGTATACGATTTCGATTCTGAAAATCATGTTACTGAGACGGGGAATAAACAATGACGTTCTTTCTTTTAAAGTATTTCTTTAAATGACTCAAGATTGTGATGGTATTCATTTTCAAATTCATGGATTGAATAAAATTTAGAAGTGTTCATAGAAAATATATAACAAGAACACGATAATCTGAAAAGTCTTCTTAATCTACCAAGCGCTGTGAAACTGAAAGTAGTTAAGTAGGTGAATATATTTAAATTCTAGTTTAACAATCTTCTTTCCATACATTAATTATTCAGTGATCTCATTAAAGACAATAAAACTGTCAAGTCATAAGCCTTGAATATTCTTTCACTTGTGTTCACTATCATTTTTTGATGAAATATAGTGATTTCAACAAAAAATAATAAATCCGGCTGACCATCAGTACTTTGTTGAATGAGCTAGAAACGTTTTTAACAAACCGATATAAATTAGGTAGTTATTGCTGTTTCATTAACATAACATACATATTCCATTCTTTACGACTAAATAAATTCAATTCAATAATGACCAACTTTTTTCTCTTATTGATATACGCCGATCCATAATTCCTTTAAAAATATACAAATAATATTTAAGAATATGATAAACATGACACATTGAATTGGATTTGCTCAACTTTACTAATTTACTCTATGTTCTCGTATATCAAATAGTTTATTCAATGAAAAGTCATCTCCGTACACATATCAACAGTGATTTTTTAATAATGCCATTCGGTTTTATTATTAGTTTGTGGAAACTCCTGAAACAAGGTATTTCTGCCAGTTATTATTTATCTTTCAATATAGATTAGAGTTACCCAACTAAGTATTAATATTATGGGGTAGATAGATATGATTAAAATACCATTTAAGATTAGACTTTATGATATTGATCACCATCTAGTAGTCGGTATATCTAATTAAACTATTCATCTTTTACAGTTTATCAATTACCATCAGTAAATTAAAAGGTTCAACTCAAAACTGTAATACTATAAAAAGATCATCTTCAAAATTGTCATAATAATGAAAATCATAATATCATTAAAAACAGTTTACGTGACCTTCAGTTAACTTGAGTGTATTCTATTAGTTGTTAGTATCTATGCTTCGCAATCTTCAGGTTCTCTCTACTTCTTGTAAATCAAATTTACTGTTAAAGAAGAGAATGTTCATTTGAATTTATGTCAATTAGTAGTTATTACAAACCTATAAACTAAAAATGTCAACTTCATTCATTTACTTATTTCTATTCTTTCTAAATGTAACGAACTATAAATATTTAAGACTATTGTTAATAAATGACATATTAGTTTTGTGCACATAACAACTTAACTTTTAAAAACTAACACTGTACTGACACTGCAATAGAATATCATACCACGTAACTAAATGTATTCCATTAGTAAACTGTGTATTTTAAATCATCGTCGAAAATACTCAATCATATTTAACTCATAAGATCATTATCAACTATAGTCCATATGTTTAAGACAAGAATAAATTAGATATCGGGTAAAAAATGACTCTTCTAGTCATTTTTTAACATCAATTCACTACATGACGAATATAAAAACTAATTATATTTATTACTATTATAACAAATGAAATGAGTAATTCGTTTCATTCAAGTATGTATTATTGAAAATCTTGTTTTCTAAATAATCATATCAAATGTTTCTATTTATCTTGTGTAAATCAATGTTTGTGTAAAACTCAATCTCATGAAACTTGATTTAATCAAACACATTTGAAACAGATTTGAAAGTAATTTACATCATGAAATAATATCAATAGAACAACTATGTAGAAACCAGAATACATTAGATAGTTATCTAATTATAGTTTAGGACTTCACAATAGTGTATATCTACCACCTTAATTGATATCCTATTCATTCAAGAATGTACAGGATATATTTCAATAATTCTGTTAGAATCAGATATACCAAACTGTCAACACTAACTCTGGGATGCAGGTACGTCGAACTGACAAGTCCCGAATAGGACGAAACGCGCGTCAAACTGGATCGCACTACTAGCCACTATCGATCTTCGCTTATAAAGCTTGTGACGTAAGGCAATATCAAGGCAATCTGAACAGGATGCACATATGCCAACATGAGATTGATCAACTGCAGTCCTAAATAACAATGGGAAGATAGATGTAAAACAACACCAAGTGGATTTGATTAACCTTTGTAAAAATAATTATTATAAATTGTACACGCAATGAAAATAAATTTAATTAATTAATTTTAAACTTTCCTAACAAATAAACTAAGAAACTTTCAATAAAAAATAGTCAGAGAAGAGACTTTGTTGTTGTTGTTGTTGTTGTTGTTAATTGATTAGTGTTACTAATTCAATAGCAGTACATTTTGGTGCAAAACTACTTGTCATAAAGTATTTGCAAAAAAACAACAAACAAATTAAGTTGATTATGACCTGAAGAACTAATAAATTAATTAAACAATAATAATAAACAAATAAAATAACGAAAAAATAATAAAAATATTCATTGTTTAAAATGATTTGTTTATTGTCAAGGTCTTATAGGTCAAATTTTATAAGTTCAATTTAGTTATTAATTTTATTTAATCCGAATAAAATAAATCATTAATTTTTATTAGTTTTTTTTTATTCCTTGAAAAATAAAAAAGGAAGAAAAGAAAGAACAATTAATAAATTTACAAACCATCAATAAATAAACATTTCCATTTTTCTGTGACATACATGACATTGGTCACCACCCCGTGATCAGTCAATTGTGATTACATCTCAGTCCTACAGGAGGTCGCTCGCCCATTGGTAACGTCTCTGACTGTGAAGCTGGGTGACATGGGATCGAATCCGTCACGGAGCAGCAGTTCCTTCAAGATTACAGGTACACCTTGCTGATATGTGCCAAGTAGCACGAAACCAGGTTCCAGGGTTTCCTGTTGACTACCTCCAACCACCATATAATCTCAACATAGTGTTTGCAATGTCGAGTCACCTAGACTGGTGGTCACATTGCAACTTGGTTGATAGCATTCGATCTGCACTAAGAAGGATTTGACACACATGACATTGATCACCACCCAATGATCAATCAGTAGTGATTATTAATGGATGTTTTTTCTAGTCAGTAGTTTAATATTAATTTTTTAGTACCTAATGTACATAACTCAATGTAATCTCTTAAAAAATACTGGAACTGAAAAAAGCCTCTCTGAATTTCACGCATTGTGTGTACGTAACTTCGAAAAACCAATCGTTATTTAATGATTAGTTTTATCACACTCTATGCTTTAAATGTCGAAACCAGGAATGCAAATTCGATGATATTTCTAGAAGTAAAGCTTATTTCAAGAGAATAACCACCGATTTTAATAAAACAATTATTGTAAGACAGCTGACTTCAAGCGCTGATATAGTATGAAATGAGCTAACTTCTTTTTTCAATTCAGTGATTACATTATTAAGTGGATCAACTAGATCTATTTTCAGCAATAAGAACTAGACGATTACTTTTAAACAACGGACTAGCGAATAACTCTTCATCTATCTTTCCACCATGTTGATATTGTTCGTTGGTGTGATACACGTTCAGTTTTTTTAAAGGGTACCTTTGAACAAAACATAACAAGATTTATGGAATAGAATAAACTGATCTATTGTAAGATCGCTAATCATCTGTTTTGTTCATTATTTTCTACATGTTTTTAATCATCAAAAAACTAAATCATTACACTGACAAACAAATATTTTAATCATATATCTAATGTAATTTTATATACGGTAGTCTTTTTATGAAGCATGTGAACCATTGGCTCATTCACTGGACAGCTTAGAACGACAAGTACTTCAATTACAAGAAATACAAGTACAAATCGAACCAAAACTACGTGTACAGTTAAATTGTATCAGAAATGAGTAAGTATTATCATCAGAATTGATTTCTCTGTTTTAATTGGTTTTCGAAATGATGTATACATTTTCAGGTTCCTTGACTTCATCTCTTGTATAACAACGTGTGTACATTTATATTTGTGAATATATATATATATATATGCTGCTACCCTGTCAACTGAGTATAAATATAGATTTGTTTATCTATTTCAATTCTCGACAAATTGATTGAGAATATTTCTCATTTTAAACAATAATCTAGACAGTTTTCATTAATCCATAATGGCTTTTTTCGATGAAGCCATGAAAATACGACAATATTTATAGATTGGTCAATTAAATGCGTGTGTATATACAAATAAAAATAATATTGTTTAACCAGGAGTTGATGTTATATATGGTTAGTATGTCATTATCTACCATGGTAGACATACAAAATAATTCATTGATAAATTAACAACAGGATTCAGTTCATGGGTTTGTTACTATTTTGCAAACAATAAACTATTCATTTGTTTGTTTGTGTTCTAATTTTAAAAAGTTCCCCCCCCCGCAAAATAAAACATAAGAACAAATGAATAACAATGAAATTTCACTCTTCTGATTGGCTCGTCCATAAGTTAAAGTCTCGCCGCACAATCTTGTACACCAAAAACATTTTCTAATAATTTCTTAATCTTCAACTATTTACCTCCATAAAACTCAGGGTCCTGATATCAGCACGGTACCTTTAAGTCATTAGGTTGAAATTCAGATATGCATGCTTTTAACTTCTTTGATCAAATCATGAGCATTTTAGTTTATCACTGCTATCATAACCAAATGTTCAAGACTCTATAATCTCTCACTAGAACTTCAAGAAATCTACATAATATTAAATCACTAGTGAGACTACAATCATTATCTGTATAGTTGGTTAGTGTAGTACTTTTTTATAAAAAAAATCCATCACCTACGGGCTTTCTGTTGTTCTACAGCCAATGTTAGTTAGTAATACATAATGCTACCCATATAAATGAGAGCCTCTATGATCACGCGTGATAAGAATGAATATCCACAGGTTAATATACCATCAACTTAAGGAAATTATATTTTCTATCATGAATGAAATCTTAAACATAAAAGTAAAACTTTTCATGACAAAAGATTTAGATTAAAAAAATACAAACCTTTGTTACAAAATTGCCAAGTTAGATTCAATCTTATCACTATATACCTTTGAATGAGTTAGCTTTTTTGTAAAGAATAAAAATAAACATGAAATGTTCATCATGCTTATCTTCAAAGAAATTTTGCTTATAAAACCGAGTGCAACTTAGAAGTGGATACAGACAGATGTATTATTTGTCGCGTACGTACATACACACATATTCATACATTAACAGACATTATACCAGTATAACGACAGATTTATTGGAAGTGAAACTTTGAAATAAGAACAAACGATTAAATATGACTGAGATTATGGGAAGTACGCATTTTGTCCAATATTTTCATTTTAGTTACCTACATCGCTGGTATCAGTTATCAAATCATAATATATAAATTCTCCCATTTTTAACTAATGTTTCTAAGATCTCGACTATTGTTATTACTATTATAAATATATGAAATAGTACAAATGTGTACTTTTCTAACCATAACTTTTCACTGATTTATTTTTAAGACCTATGCACATAATCATCACAGAAATGTAATAAATTACTCACACAATAGATTATACTTAAGAAAAAGGAATAAATCTCAAAGAAATGGAAAATTCAATTATAAAATTATTATAATTAAATAAAGATTTCTTGTTTATAATTAAAAAGTGGGAAAGGTGTCCCAAATAATGGTTTGTAATGAATGGTTTACACTATAGGTATTTCAATCAACAGATTATCTATAAAATTCAAGTAAAGTGTGTGTTTATATAAATGTTAAGAAAAAAACTATATCTTTGATATTCTTCTTCACTGTGTTGAGTATTTAATTATTCTCAGTTAATAAATAAATAAATAAACAGCCATTGAAATCAAGAGTCAATTAAAGCCAGACCATCATGAAAAATCTAAAAGCACTGGACGGCCGTTTCGTCCCATAGTGGGACTCCTCATCAGTGAGCATCCACGATCCCTCCCCGCGGGATTCGAACCCAGGACCTATCAGTCTTGCGCGCGAGCACTTTACCATTAGACCACTGAGTTGGCCGGCATCAAACGGTGTTAGTATCTAACTTCAATCAATTCACGAAATTGCGACCCGCTTACATTGTCTTCAGTGAGCTGATATCTCACAACAGCCCTGGTTGAACTCCACTGTTCACGGCTTATACACAAAACCACATCTGGAAATAAATAATAAATAATTGAATTTTCAATATTTAACCAATTTTTGTTTATATAAAACAAAGCAACAGGTGAAGCAGAATAACATAAATTTATAAGGGTTGGTAAAGTTTCAAGAATGATTTACTAATTGATAATAAAAGCTATATATATACGAGGTCATTTGAGGATAAATCTAAGAAATATGAAGGAGAATAAAGCAGAAGTAATCTAAAACTGGAAGGTTGACAAATTTCGTAATATTTATGGAAATTAGCTGATTCTAAGCATTGAAAATCAGGAAACACTAGACAACTGTTATCTAATAGTAATGGACTCTTGAGCAATCTACATCCATGTTCCTACAAAGGATGTAAAGCTCGATGAGGTTATGGATTGTGCACTAGTAAAGAAAGAAGGCTTGTCAAATGCTTTCTGGATTCCAATAGTTATTTAACTAAGTCCAGTCAGCGGTGTTAAGTATAAAATAAACGTCAACATTTTCTATTAACCATCAGTCAAATTAGAAAAATATTAATTTTAGTAAAAAGATTTGTTGAGAGTGTTCTTTTTGCAGTTTCACATCATGAACTAACCTCATCTAGATAACCATTTAAAATCAGGAAGCAATAAACGGCTGTCTGGTCCTGATGAGAGTTACGTTGACTTTCTAGTGGTCCGTTGTTTGATGGTATTATCATGTTCAGCAATCATACTTCTGATTCAATCACCGTTGATGAGCATCAGTAGTTGAATGTTATTTTCATACCCTTATTGAATACATATTTCACCACATTACTCATTCCAATTTCATAATTGTTTTTCGCCCTCTAGTTTCTATGAAATTTTTGAGTAATCTTTGATTCAACCTTTAAGAAAAAATAACAACTTTTTTAAATATTTAATGTCGTTACTGTGTTCGATTGATCGTTGTTTTATATGACTTAAAACATTTTGACTGTGCAAATTAAAGCAGCACATAATCAAACAATCTTCTTGTCAATCAGATCTTCATCAGGCTCTACTCTAAACACAATCATCTTTATATAAGTACATATAGCAACATTAAACCAATCTGAGTTTTTGTAATCAAGAGTGGTATCGTACTTTTTACAGATCACGTAGAAGCGGAGCTCAATTTATATTGATTCGAGTTGTCAATTATTGTGACATTAGAAAATTACTGAAAATTAAGTGTATATAATTTCTATAAAAAGTCGAAAAATTATAAATGTCATACAAAATAAACTAGAAAAAGTTATTAACCAATTCTCGGTTATGGTGATAAGTATCTTAATGATAAACACAAACTTCAAATAACAATAATAATTTTGATTGAGATCATGAGCCGATTGATGTTAGACCATCACTCAAAACCTGGAAGCACTGAACGGCCGTTTCGTTCTATTGTAGGACTCTTCAGCACGGCACATCCACGATCCCACTCGCAGGATTCGAACGCAAGGCCTTCAGTCTTGCACGCGAACGCTTAACCTGCTGGACCACTGAGCCAGTCGGTATCCAATGATGTTAGTGACTAACATACTGATAATTAACATGGGCTCACCCGTGGGTAGATTCGTGAGGGAATTCTCGGAGTTCTGGTGTGAAGCCGTGACCAGTGGAGGTAATAGGTGTTGGGTAGAAAGAGGTGTCTACCTTAGTACAATGGAAGATGGTCGCGGATTCGAAGCTCTCGAGGTAGGATCGTGGGTGCGCACTGCTGAGGAGTCCCACAATAACACGAAACGGCCGTCCAGTGCTTTCAGGTTTTCCAGGATGGTCTAGCTTCAATTGACTCATGATCTCAACTAGTAAAATTACTATAATATCCACAAAACCCATTCTGATATTAATAACTGACTTCTTTGTAAAGCAAATGAATAAGAAATAAGTATCCAAAGTATGTATACATATATATGAGAATATTATATTCACGTTAGTTTTTGTACTTGTTTCTCAAATTATCTGACAAATTATTTTATCAGAATAATATAAATAGAAGATATATGGTATTTCAATGTTTAATAAAGGTTGTAATTACTTTTAAGGCGTATATAAAAATGATTAATAAATTTTATATATAAATTAATAAGGTTCAGGTAATATTTTTTGAATTTATAACGTTGACTTCATTTTTTATTTGTTGATCGACAAAACTCAACAATTATTGTTTGTTTCAGTACTATACTTCGTACATGGTTTTATAATTGGATATTATGTGAATTACACCTATGTGATCAAATTCACATATACAGTATCTTGAGTTGATTAGAAGCTAACGTTTTAAATTTTAGTTTTCATTGTTTGCTAAAATTTGTCATGAAAAGTTCATTGCAACCACGTTGGTAAACATATCTCCAAGATGTAAATAAACATATTATTCAGTAAATTAGTAGCTATGGCAACCATTAATACTCCCTCATATATCCCTTACATTTTTAAATATATATATGAGACATCGGATGATGACAATTCTTCGATATTTATGTTTTATTTAAATTCTGTAGCATGTTTATTAACATCTGATAAACAATATTTTTTTAAGGGAATAAATGGAAATTGTAGAATATTGATCGTCTAGTGAATATAAAATGTTTAGTGAGTTGTATGAGACACATAGTAGCATTGATTTCAATAAGCTCTACCTCCAGAATGGTAATTCTAATAATATACAATACATGAAAAGGAAACGTTTTAATAGAAGTAAAAACTATCAACGATAGAATTAAAAAAAGGGCTTTACATCACGTATTATCAAAATGGTAACAGCCTAGAAACAGTGCAATTATATATGTATATATATATATCAAATTTTTTTATCTAAGTAAAATGTAAGTACACTTCAATAGAATGTGTACATATGTGAATTAAAGAATGATTTAAAAATCATAAATTATTAATTGGAATCAATGTTAAATCACTATTGAAAACCTTGAATCATTACATGGTCGTTTCGATTATTAAACTAATCTCATATCAGTTTATTTAACAATATCAATAATGATTAATGGATGGTGGCTAGCAGTGGAGTCTAGGACGCGTGTTTTATCCTACTTGATATTCGCCAGCTGAATGTATCTACACCAACTCTGGGATCTAGGTGGCAACCATCCATCACTGCTTATGATGCTTAGGATTTCAGGTAATATCGAGGCAATCCGTATAGGGTGCATATATGCCAATAAAAGACTGATCAATTTTAGTCTTAAACATCAACAGAAAGATTCGAACAAACAATAAAAAACGAGATTAATAATAACAACTGATTAGTTTATAGAGAAGAAGAAATTATAAATTTTAGTCTTATACTACACATATTAAAATATAAGAATATATTTGGGATATAAATCATCACAAACACTTTGAATTTGTACTTATTGACATGAAATAGGTTAATTCCGTTTTGTTCGTATAAATTATAAACAAATAATGAACTGTTGCATAATCATATTAAATGGTATAGTTTCATCGAAAATATACGGTTAAATTTATTGTCAAGCTTACATACCGAAAGTGATTATTATATCATAAATAGAATGGACTAATAAAAGTTCTAGAATATGATGCTTAAACACAGATATCGATTATAATATATTTCTCAAACTTCCTTATAATTAGTCATTCACCATGTCGTCTACAATTACTTCATCCATAATGCACACAAGCATATTCAACGAATATAATCCGTCTTTTAAATATCATTTATTTTGATATGTTCATCTTACTTGACAGAAACAGTCTTATTGTAAACATATATATACATTTAGTCATTTTCCTTTCAGAACTAAATTCAAGTTTTTTTCAACTTACCTCTTTTATTTTCTACTTAAAAGGTTTGAAAGAATACGTGTTATTACACAAACTCGAATTCATCAACTTAATCAAAGTTTATCAGCACTACAAATGATGCCACAAAGACCGAAATATCAAACTGTTACACGTAATTCTTCTCAACGTACTCAAGGATCACGTCATGAAGCTATAGAACCAGTTGATCAAACTATCCCAGCGACTTCAGGACAATTAAAAAATGTTCCATTACACGGTAAGAGGACTTTGCTTTAATTAACTTCAATCTTTTAATGGTTTTGGAAATAATAACTCGATTCACAAGTTTCGTCTTTTTTTAAGACGCATAAGACAGAGCTTTCTTTATTATCCTGAGTAAGGTATTTGTGTACATGTAGCACATTCATGTCAACAAAATTCCATACGTTATATTAACAACAGAATTTTGCAAGATATCATAGTTATTCAGATTTAACTTGATAAGGAAAATATTTTAAAGCCATATACCAATTACAGATCTTTATAACGATTAGTATTAATCTCATACAGCCAAAATATTTATTTAAAACCAAATGCTTATAAACGATGAATGGTTGTTCACTTGGTGTTGTTTTACATCTATCTTCTCATTGTTATTTAGGACAGCAATTAATCAGTCTCATGATGGTATATGTGCACCCCGTGCAGATTGCTTTGATATAGCCTTCAGTCACAAGCTTTTTAAGCGAAGATGGATAGTGGCTAGTAGTGGAATCCATTGTGACGCGCATTTCGTACTATTTGGGACTCGTCATCTGGGTGTACCTGCATCTCAGAGTTAACGTTCAACAATGGGAAGATACAAGTAAAGCAATATCAAGTGAATTTAAACTTCACCACATTGCACAAGCAGATGGCTATCAGGACTCAGTAGCTAAGTGGATAACGCGATGGCGTTTGAAGCCAACGGTACTGGGTTGGAGTCCCGGAGTGAATACTAACTCTGAGATGCAGGTTCATCCAGCTGACAAGTTCCAAATAGGACGAAATGCGCATCAAACTGGATTCCATCTTTGATGAATGGTTGTATTTCAATTTGTTCAGTGACTTATTTTCCCATATGCTAAACTGTACAAATCAATAGTTGACAATCGACACTATCAATGTTTTATATATCTTCAGTTAATTCCTTGTAAACTATAAATCTCAATATTAATTGGTACTTGTTTAATATTATACATTAGACAAATGATTTTCTCTACTCATCACGGTATTTTAGTCTTTGTTTTTTTTGTATTTTATCATGAAATAAACCATCTGGAAACTATGAAATTTTTCTTTTTACAGAAGAATAATTTTCATTTATTTACTATGCATTATAGTTATGTGATTGGTTATAAATCCTGTAATTCAAGACACATTTTCATAGTCTGTTTTAAGCGAATATCCTACATATTTGTTAGAAATTTATTTTCAGAATTGGAAGTTTGTACAGATTATAGTAGTTTTAAATAGAGCAAGAACAAACATTGATGCAGAATAGTATGAATTCATATTATTTCGAGGTTTCTCGTCAGCTGCTTACAAACCAAAAGTGTAATAGAATTTTTTACATGGAGATAGTGTGAAACAATTGACATAAATGAGTGTAAATAACTGAATTACAATAATAACTCCAGGAGTATCTCTTGAAGTCAGTCACTAGTGAGCAGATGATTATTATCAGAAGGGGTTTGTGGAGATTTTAGAAATTTTCACAGATTTAAATCATGATTCAGTTGAAGCTAGACGAAACGGCCGTCCAGTGCTTCCAGGTTTTCAATGGTGGTCTAGCTTCAACTGAATCATGATTTAAATCTGTGAAAATTTCTAAAATCTCCACAAACCCCTTCTGATAATAATCATCTGCTCACTAGTGACTGACTTCAAGAGATACTCCTGGAGTTCTGGTGGGAAGCCGTTACCAGTGGAGTTCAACCAGGTCTGTTGTGAGATATCAGCTCACTGAAGACAATGGTGTACGGTGGCGCGACTTCGTGGATTGGTTGAAGTTAGACATTAACACCGTTGGATGCCGGCTCAGTGGTCTAATGGTTAAGTGCTCGCGCGCGAAGCCAGTAGGTCCTGGGTTCGAGCCCCGCGTGGTGCGGGATCGTGGATGCGCACTGCTGAGGAGTCCCGTACTAGGACGAAACGGCCGTCCAGTGCTTCCAGGTTTTCGATGGTGGTCTAGCATCAACTGAATCATGATTTAAAACTATATATATATGTTAGAAACAGGTCAGAGGTCAAAAGAGGGGGGTTAATCCAGGGTGGGTGGTGTAATAATTTAGTGAAGTTCATAAATTGTGTGATAATTGTAGAGATTAATGGAATTAAATAATGATAAGGTAGATTACGTAATAATAATTAAATAGGATTTGGAAAGTTAAGATAATTTAAGAGGATCAGGTGGTGGAAATGTGTGAATAAAATTTATTTTAAGAATTAGGCAATAGGGGGGGAGTATAAAATATCTTAGAATAAGTAAATGAATAAAATAACCAAAACACAAAACAAACAGAAACAAAAAGATTACCAGGGTAGTGATAAGTTTATTAAAGTCTCTTTTTGGATGCATAAGTTCGGTTTCAGTTTCTTAATTGCAATGGCTTCAGCAAAGAGGAGAGTGGTAGTGGTTCTTTGTCTAATGATAATTTTAAACGTGCACAGAATATCGACGGTATGCCTGGTGTCAAGTAGATGCCGAGCTATTGCACTGTTAAAAGCTTTAGTCCCTCGCAGCGTCAAGTTCTTCGAAATATGCTCGGAAATGCGAACCTGTACTCTTCTCTCAGTTCTTCCAATGTATGTGCTACGGCACGTACACGTGAATTGGTAAATACAGTTGGAGCAACTGAGGGGAGAGGACTTGTCGATCTTTGTTTGTTTCAGTGAACAGTATGTTTTCCATAACATAGTCAGTTTGGCTGCCGGGTAGGCCATTTTTAAAGCGGAATTAATTCTGTGATTGATAATTCCGGCGACTTCATCTCCTTGGAAGTGCAAGGATAGGAAGCAGGTTTTCTTTTCAACTGTATCATGCTTAATCGGAGGGTTTGTATTAGCATATTTGTGGATGAATTTATCCGGATATGCATTTTCACGTAGGAATTTGGTGATTGTAGTAATTTCTTCTTCGAGGCATTCTTTTGAGCAGATTTTTCGTGCGCGATCAATAGTTGAATTCATTATTCGATCTAAGCTAGAATACCATTGAAAACTTGAAAGCATTGGATATCCATTTCGTCCTTTATAGGACTGAAATGCAAATAAATAAATAAATAAAAAACTATTACAAACATCATTCTACTTATTTTTTTCAGATTCTGTTCGTTTACCGTGGGAAAGATGTGTTCATCCATCTGGTACACAAGTTCCATATTATAAAAAGTAAGTATGAACTACAATATTTGTTTATATTTATTGTACAATACAATTTTTAAAAAAAAGAATAAATCAATGAAAAATACTTAACTGCCAAGCTAAATAATCAAGTTGTTTTTTTAACTGTCATAGATAAGATGTTTACGAATATAACTTTCACTCAAATCTTCAGTGAATTGAAATGAAACTTCACTAAACTAAAGTCCTCACAAATTCCTAAATGGTTAAAATATATAAACAAATAGAAGAAAAATGTATTATATGTGAAAATTATATTTGAAATAATCTCAGCGATTGAATTTTAAATCACTTCAATGTTTCGTCCAGCTAACGTGTCTGCACTCTTCTTCAGAGTAATAACAAAAATCAAAAATAGAAGAAGAATGTAGAAAGTTAAGATAATTTTGATATAATCAACTTCAAGATGATTATATTTCTTGTTTACAAATAGAAGCTTCTAGAATTTACACATTTTTTAAATATAGAAATCGGTATTACAAATAATAATTAGATTTTGATTAATTCACGAATTGTTTTTAACGATTATGTAATCTAAATGAATATTTTTAGTGGTTGTCTATCACTCAACTCTAATGGGAAATAATTTCTTTTTATTTACAATAATATCTATTAACTTTAGATCTCTATACTAAAACAATCTTATAAACTGAAAGTACATACTAATATAAAATTATTTAGATAATATTCTCATTTATGAATAAACTTTTGAAATGAATTCAGTGAAATTTGCGTAAAAAAATGATATAATCACTTTCAGCTCAGTGTATGGTTAAACGACATATAATAATCATTATGTTTTTCTAACGTGATTATTAAATGAATATAGTAAACGTATTTCGTCCCATTTGAAACTCATCAGATACATTTACCTTCACCCTAGTAATAATATTCACAATATGAAACCTAGATTCAGGATATTTTTTCAACTAATTTAAATCAAACAACAATGACATTATCTATTCTTTTCATCTTTTTTAGTCATGAAACGCAAGAAACTCAGTGGGATCATCCAATTTTATGTGATCTGATGAAATCTATGAAACAATTTAATACTGTTCGTTTTTCTGATTATCGAACTGGTTTAAAACTACGTCGTTTACAAAAAGAATTATGTTGTAAGTTACTCACTTGATATTTTCTTCGTTTCATATAATTATTAACAGTATTGCTTTGCTAAAAATCATAATATTGTTACTCAATAATGTTAATTACATATATTTTTTTATTGAGATCGTGAACCGATTGATGTTAGACCACCATTGAGAACCTGGAAGCACAGGACGGCCGTTTCGTCCTAGAATGGGACTCAGCAGTGCGCATCCACGACCCCACTCGTGGGATTCGAAACCAGGGCCCTATATCTCGCGCGCGAGATATTCAATGGCGTTAATGTCTAACCTCAACCAATCCACGAAATTGCTCGACCATCTTCCATTGTACTGAGGTAGACACCTCTTTCTACCCAACACCTATTAGCTCTACTGATCACGGCTTCTCACTAGAACTCCAAGAATTCCCTCACGAATCTAGTCACGAGTGAGCCCATGTTAATTATCAGTATGTTAGTCACTAACATCATTGGATGCCGGCCGGCTCAGTGGTCCAGCAGGTTAAGTGTTCGCGCGCGACACTGAAGGGAATTGTGTTCGAATTCTGCAAGTGGGATCGTAGATGCGCCATGCTGAAGAGTTCCACAATGGGACTGTCACCATGTCTAACAGAAGTTTATTATCAGTATTATTATCATCCTGTAAAAACAAGTATATATATATATATATATATATATATATATATATTTGTGGTTGTATAGCTTTGAAAATGAATTCGCCTTGAAGATAACTCTTCACTGAACTAATCTTCTAATTTATAAGTAGTTTATATTTACACTATAAGATTATGTATAGATTGTTAAGTTGATCAAACGAAAATATGACAATAATTTGCGTCACAACTTTTCTCAATAATTAAAAATAATGTTAAAAATTATAACATACATAGTTAAATGTATGAATTAAAATTGAGTTTAATATGATAGTCATTTTACTAGTTAGAGGTTTTGGATATTATAGTAATTTTAATAGTTAAGTTCATGAGCCAGTTCAAGCTAGACCACCATGAGAACGCTTAACCCCTAGATCACTGAGCCAGCATCCAACAGTGTTAATGTCTTACTTCAACCAATCCACGAAATCGAGCCACCGTCCACCATTGTCTTCAGTGAGTTATTGTCAGCCAAGTAATTGAACAAATTAAACTCATTATTAATGATTAAAAATAATTTGCAAAGCTGTTAACCTATGTGCTGTTAATATTCAAATATATATTATTTACATTGATATTGATGCATAGAATTATAGGCATGAAGAGTACTTGGTAATAAATTTTTACCTCGTATTTCTAGTGAAACTCTTTAAAAGTTTTATTTCATCAAAACAGAATCTAATTAGTTTAATTTTTATTGAGCTGAATAATTGTTTCATAATTCAGTCATATTCCCTTATTTTTTGTGTATATATGACGAAACCTGAAAAATACGTCTGTATTTCAACGTATCTACTCATATATTTGATATGTTTTTATAATTATTTTATTTTTAGTTGATTCGATAAGTATCTCAATTGTTGCCGAGAGTTTAAAACATATTGGCCATTCACAGACATTAAGTAATCCTATACTTGGTCAACAAACAACTGATCCATTTGATCGTATGATAACAGTACCTCAAATTATTGATTATTTGCTACAATTGTTTAATCATACAAGAACTTTATACGGATTAAATAATCATAATCAAAAATCTACAACTGATAGTTCTTATGGACATAATTCTGGAGTTGATGTAGATAGTTTGAAAGTAAATGAATCATGTTTAAATAATATTCATGGTTCTAATTCCAACTTAAAGGATCATATTAATGAACCCTATTCAACACTGCCAGGTTCACGACCTTCCGATGTAAGTTGCGCTTTTAAAATTGTATAGTATTTTTATAAAGATATATTTAAGTAAGTGGAACGACAAATGACAAATTGAAGTAGAATAAATATTATTATAAAAATGAGCTAAAACTAGTTATATATAATGATATCACTGATTAAATGGAACATTCTACAAACGATCTATAACATCAGTGTTGATAATAATCCCTCTATTTAGTGCAATATATTGATGGAGTTTTGTTATCTGAGCTGGATGTTTTGGTCGTGGAGTTTTCGTTGTTCTTCTGAACGACATCAGCACAAACGTCAGATAGGAGTGAAGTGTTCGAATTTCTCCAGATGTGGTTCCCAGCTTGTCCTGTAGACTTCGAAGTTGATTGGTTCTTGTTGGCCTTAAATCTGTCACTGTTTACTTCTTTGTTTTGGTTGTATCTCCCGTTGCAGATACCAGCTCAGAGAACAAAACTTCATCAAAATCATCCACTTGAGCTACAAATCTCCACCATCTCAAAATGCAATGTATTTGATTATCCGATCATATTTACAACAGAAAACAAATTTGTATTCACTATTCATTTAACTTGTTAATATTCAAAATCTATATGAAAGTGTTTTTCAATAGTAGTCAGATACCTTTCATATTTATAAGCAAACATTTTTTGACTTGAATTATATCAAAGAAATGTTTCATTATGTAATGGTAATTGATGCATAAATCCCAATATAATTGAATGTCATTTCCGCTAAAACAATATAAAGAAAGTAATATGCAAAACTATGGTCATACTTTTGCTTAAATCTTCACGATAATTAGTGAATTTTTTTTATAACAGGGCCTGGATACATTTGGTATTTAACATACAGAGTTAGTCATTTATAAAAAAAGAAGCCAATTGATATTGTCTTATGAATATAACTAAATACTTTCCAGTCTAGAAATTACTTGCTTCATGATTTAGTGCGATGTTCTGCTTTAGTCATTATTAATCTATTTCTAACATACTCCTATACTAATCAGCCTAAAACATTCATAGAGATGTCAGATGTGAGTATGAGCAATGCCTGTCTCAAACACTGCAATAGATTAATATTTACAGCTTCATTTATCCGTTGCTACAATAAAGTGCTTTTTCAACAAAATATCATTATTTTATCATATAACATTGAAATTAACTATTTCGACAAGGTCTAAGGTAAATTCGTTTAAATATTTCTTAAAACAAGTTGCTTTTGGTTGTAGTACATATCAGCTTCTTAATTTGCTATAAATCATCCCTTTGTTTTCAAAATAACAACTTTGAAATAATTAGACTACGTCTAGTGTCTCTTTCTTTTGTTATCTAATTTTTCTCGATCGAAAAACCAATAAGAATTATTACCGAAGCCAAAATTGTTTGACAGTTATATTTTAGGCTTATTGAACGCCTACTAGGACAAAAGTTTTTTCTTTGAGAGTTCTATCTTCTTTTAATATATGATTGTAGTATAAGTTACGGTATTATGAAATTGAGAATTTCAGTCTTTAATAACTGTACGCATGGTATTAGTGAATGATAGTAAATCACTTGATAATGTTGTGAATCTCAGTATCGATCACTGTTACGTCGGTGTCCTCCATTGAACCGTGAGATTAAAGTTACTTTATACCTTTCTTTATACGAACTAATTCTTTCTCCCTATATCATATCCTTATATGTAATCTTTTTTTATTTATTACTACCATTAAAGTAACTAATTCTATGAATTTGGTGTTCATCTTGTTGTGCTAACGAGGTTTGATAACTTGAACCGATACATATACATGCCTGATTCTACGTTGTAACAGACTGACTGACTACTAACAAATAAACCTTGAAGTTTGAATGATGACTTATGAGATTTGATGTTAACTTAAAAAGAAAATATCTGTCTAGTTCCAGGACAAAATTCTCAATAAGTATAAAACAAGATTCAGGTACTGAGTGAGATGTCTTTTGTTGTTAATACATCATAAAGGAAAATTACCTAATTGCATACTTATCCAACACCTTGTGTTAGATGAATAATATTACCATTTTTATGAATTTGATAACTTAGCAATTTATGGTAATTCTAACAAATATACTGATAATAACTTTATGTTTTTAGTGTGAATTAAAATCAAGCACAATTGAATCACAAAATCATTCAAGAAATTGTATGGGAAGTTTTCTGCGTTCATCTTCAACAACACGTCCAAATAAATCAATATTATTTTCTTCACCATCAACTGAACCTGAAAACAGTAGAAAATTGACTAAAACTCCTGTTCGTGATCCAGGCTGTCATACAATAGAAAATGAAAATACATTAAGTGAGGATAATCGAAGTTCTAGTCTACCTGTGTGCACAATTATGCAAGTTAACAATTATAATAACAATAAAGATATGAATAGTATTAATCGTGGTCGACGAAATACAATGAGACGTAGAAAGCATTATTTAATTGGTTCAATTAAACGTCCAGTGAATGTATGCGTTGATCTTATATTGAATTGGTTATTAAATGTTTATGACCGGTATGTTATTTCGTTATCCTTATTTGTACTATAGTTGTGTGTTATACGTAAAAATAATTATTTAAACTGATTGAGATAGCATTATATTCCTTGAGTTGAATAGAAAATTATCATTAACCTGGTAAACAAATCTTTTACAAAAGTCCAAATCATGGTATTGTTTAATAATGTCAGATTCACTTTTCTCCATGGAGATATTACATATAGATTAAATACTAAGATTTTTCTTTAACTTCAGTATAAAAAACTGGTAAAATTATTTAGAGAGAATCGAATATTGATTACGTTTGTTTTAACTGTGAATAAAATGATGCTTTTTGACTGTTATTACTAAACGAAGATTGGTACTTTGGACAAGAAATACTGTGATTAGTATCATATAAAGAAGTATGCAACCAAGATTGATGAGGATTCATCATATAACAAAAAAATAATAACTAAAAACTACTTTAAATACAGTACATTACGCATGATGTACTTATCTGATCAACAGTCATATTCGAACACACTGAACTCGTAAATACTTGACATTGTTTAATCATTAAATTTAAGTATGGATAGAGTTTATAATATCACTGGGCTAAATTAGTTTGAATATAACTAAATTAATAAGAAATATATTGGCTTATTCCAATTGTTTTCTCCACTTTCTGATCGGTTGCGCATGAGTAAGTTTCTCTGTAAGAAGTCAACTTGAAAATTATTTGTTCTTCCTTGTAGTAACTCGGTACTAGTAAATGTACGTTAATTAACATAGACTTTATTTCTTTGTCTGAAATATTTTGATATCATTTTTGTACTACTGTTTTATTTCGTGTTTATTTTTTCATCATCTCTTTCTACAGAATGCGATGTGGTACCATTCGTGTTCTATCATTCAAAGTAGCATTGGCTTTAATGTCAATGGCAAATTTAGACGAGAAATATCGATGTAAGTACAATTCAGACACATGGTTAATTTCTCAAAACATTTTTAAACAAAACTTTGAAAAATCATTCAATCGAATTTGAACTGACATCTACAAAATTAAGTGATTAGTAAAATACGGTTGAATACACATGTTGATTTTATCTGGACCACCATCGAAAACCTGGGAGCAATGGATGGCCGTTTCTTCTTAGCAACGAACTCTTCAGTTGTGCTCGTCTACTTTTCCGATTGCGGGACTCGAGCCTAGGACCTTCGGTTTCGCACACGAAGGCCCAACCTCTAGACAACTAAGCAGTTGTAGACTGTATATATAAAAATTAAATAAGTTCATCGAACTAGTACTATACTAATTAAATTGTTATTATATTACTCAGATTATTGATTTGCTGAAATCATTCAGTTGATAATTACATGAATAGAAAGTCATGAAATTAATATCTTATATATTACAATTTTATATAATGTAGGCGCAAACTAAACAGCGTTATTGAATCAAATTAATCAACATCATAAGGTACCTTGTGTCAAATCATAGTTTTTTAAACTATCCATTAAGATTTTTGAACTCAGATTACCCCATACTAGAAAAAATTAGTATTTTCAATAAATTTCTTAGACTAAAAAACTCATCTTTTAGAATAACTTCAGAAGGTCTTTGTAAGTTTTAAAAACTTAGTCATAACGTCCCATTTTGTGAAACTTTTTAGAAAAAGTCAGTTACCTCAAGGTTTCAGGTACAACTTGTGACCAGTCTTCACTAACACTAAACCTATATACAGGGTTTTATGATTCTATCTAAAATCACCTAGCAGCGAATCAATTGATGACCATATGCCTTCTACAGAACTAATATATTTAGACCTTGTATTCCTAGTTAAGTTTTATGCGGATCACTTCCAAATAAAAGAAATTAAACAGATTTCACTTAATTTTTTTCTATAATGCATTTTGGCAAGAAAGAGTCTTGAAAACAGATGTAGTTGAATTTTTATTTTTCACTTCATAGATCTATTCAGTTTGATATCTGATCGTGATGGTTGCGTAGATGAGCAACGACTAGGTGCTCTACTGTATGAATGTGTACTTATTCCACGTAATCTTGGTGAAACTGGACAGTTTGGAAATGAAGATTTTAATCAATATGTAAAAACGTGTTTCCAACAAGTATGTAATTATACACTTTCCATTGGAAATATGATTAGTTTCAATCAGTAAAGTTTAATGTTTCAATTATAGTCATTATATATTTGTTAGAATTACCGAGAAGAAAAAAAATACTTCCTTCTAGCTAAATGTGAATTAGATTTCAATCATCTAACAACAGTAGAACAATAGATTAGAAGTAATATATTTCACTTTTCCTCTTTATGCACTGGATATTGATGGGTTTTTTTCCTGGAGTATAGGCTTCTGTGAAATAGTAGAAACTATTAGTTTGCTGTTTCATCTTGGTCCCAAATTTTTAACAGAACTCCAAATCTTCTTTGAAAGCTAAATATATTTTGTAAATAATCTGACTACTTATTAAAACGTAAGTAGTCGACAAATTATAATATCAAACATTTGACGTTCAAAATATTTTTTCTTCAGTATTAACCTGAATAGCTTAATATACCTAGTGGAAAGTAAATGATGTAACATGTTGAAAAGCTAAAAATTATGATGAAACAAATGTTCAGTTCTATTTTTTCTTCATTTTTTAAAAATTATTTTATGATGAATAACCCTAGTGACAATTAAGAAAATATAAAATTTGATTTGGTAATTAACTTCCAATGGATAATACTGAACTATTATCATATTATAGAAGAACTGTATCAATATAGAACTGTTCTAGCCTATTTCTATGAAGTCTTACATTCAGAAAATTTTCATTAGTTTTTTTCATAAAAAGATAATGAATTCCCCACAAATAATATAACTGATTGTTCAGAAACCAATCTGGGTTTCAGAAATTGGTGTAACTTACAAAAAACCCTTAATTTTCTTATTATGATACTTTAATTAAATAGTAGATCGTTTGTTATACGATGTTATCATCAACAATTTTTCTTAAACAACTGATAGTATTCAACTTAAATTGTAATCTATATATTAAATATGGTTTTTCTAGATAGATAGATAGATCTATCAAACAAACAAGTCTTATAAATTCGGCTATTAGGAAGACTATTTCGAAAAAAGGAACTATTATTCACATTTAATTCGGTAGGCTGGGCAGAACACATTAAGGAACAGTTCAACTGGCCTTCGCCTACCGCCTACTTCCAAGCAATCCTTCAACTCTAATGGAAACTGAAAAGGCTATATGTAATCTAAAGTGAAGGAGAACAGCAGATCTGAATGGATTAGCTCTCAAAAGTTTAAGAATGATGGTCCAGATTAACTGAGATCTTAACCAAAATCTGAGGACTGGACGTTATCCTATCTGATTGGTACCAATCTCAGATCATCCCAATTTATGAGGAAGATTAGTTTCTACTTTGCATATGTCTGACTGACCGGATAAGTGACATTTTAAACCATTTGCTTCGTTGCAAATATTTCAACTTATGGAAAAAGTTTAAGTGGCATTTGGTTTGATGAATAATAGAACTTGAAAGGTTTACATTACCCTTGTAGCAAATGATCTAAAGGATTGTGAATCTGTCACAACACCCTTCGGATAATACTTTCCAGTCATATTTTTTTCATCTATAAATTCTATAGACTGGATTATTTCTGTTTTGTCAATAGTTTCTCTATTAAGTTAGACAACATTATCACATCTAGAAACGACTACGGTTTAATCTTTAATTGTTTTCTGTTATAACTGATAAGGTAATCTATTTAGATATAATGATGTACTACAGTAGGCAAACAAATAATGTTTAGTAATAAGCTGTATTTTATAAGCAAGTACAATCAATTATAAATGTAGATTCTCTGTAAACCCTAAACTTTGTTCGAAACTTCTTCATATTTTGTCCAAATTCTACTATTTCAGGTCCTTGAAATTTCAAAGCATTCGGATAAAATAGATGGAACTTTAACATATCATTCTAAACCTACTGCAAGGATTGTTCATTTCTTGACATGGCTTCGTTTAAATCCACAAATGTTGACGTGGTTACCATTATTACATCGTCTTGCTTTATCTGAGCAAGTAATTCATCACATACGTTGTAGTGTATGCCATAATCAACCTCTTATTGGGCTTCGGTATGTGTGTATTTTTGAGTTTTATAACAAAACCTTTTTCTGTGGGAATTATTAATTTCATAATTTTCTATATAAACTATTATACTGATATGTTTTGATCAACTGGTTTCCACAATAAACATAGATAATTTGCTTTGAACACTATTACTATGACACCAATTAATCCGAAGGGTAAAGTCAAATTTCAAATTTAGAAGATCGATTTGGTAAACCACTTTCATGTGTAAATATATTCATAATTATCTTGGAATTAGCATACTGAAACACTCCTAAATCAATCAAACTAAGTGTTTTTAATCGTTGAAAAATAAAGGATTCCCAAGGTAGGGTTTTGGTGTGAACTAAACTCTATCGTCAGATCCTGTCATAATTAGATCATGATCATTTTGTTTTGATTGTGTTAATAGCTAATCTTTATTAGAAACAAACAATGTGATAACTTGATTTATTAGATGTTATATTTGAACCACATATAAAAAAATCTAGTTTATCATGTTAAAGTAAACTTTAATTGATCCATGAATGAAGACGGAAATACAAGGTTATGCTAAATATAAAAGACTTTCAGATATGTAAACGTCGTCCAGCTTTGATTCAAATCTTGTCACATTTTAACTCTACTTGTTGACTTCTTTGCGTAATATGTTAACAAATTCTTGTTTTTGCTTGTATTTGATTCTTTGCCGTTGATCGATCTTTGAGTTCAGGCTTACACAATCGAGTATTGAGTAACTTAGGCTATTTATAATTGCTTACCGCAAAAACGTTTTTTCCATTAAAATATTTCATATTTCATTTATACAAAAGTTTAATTGGTCGAGAAAGTTTCCTTCTGTATACGTAACTTGTTTTATATATCTGAAACATGACACAGAAATGTACTTCAAAATTGTTAATTTATCTGAATTTTAAATAAGATAATCATCAATTTTTTTCGACCAATAATATAACATGAAACTAATAAATAAATTTCGTAGTTAAAACATTAGGGTTACTTTAAATGTGTTCTAGTCAGTATAATTCATCGTAATTTCGAAATGTACCTTCTGTGTTAGTCGGAATTCATAAACAAAGCTTTTTAAAAGTGTCCTGAATCAAATAACTGACTAAGTTTCAGTAGTCAAGTGGAATCTTGTTATCCTTTTAAAGATACCGTGGTGTGGGTACTTATATCCATATAAGTAGTATATAACGGTGGTCAGAAATAGAATATATTTCAGCAGAAGGTCGATAAGGAAAGAACGGAAACGTAACGCAATTGGTATGAAAATGCATGAACAATAAAATCTTAGACAACGGATTGACATTTGCAAAGGAACAGTCAAATTTGAGATGATTAGTTGATATTTTGGAAATTAACCATTAATTATATGGCTCTCAGATTTTATTGAAATGCTCTGTAATTTCGTGTCAAATACATTCGATTGTCCCTCACTCGTGTTCGTGTTCACTATGATTTAAACGTTGAATGAAGTTTTAAATAATTTAACAAGTCAACTCTTTTAAAAGTTATTAAAGTTACACCTGAAAATGTTTCGCAACACTTATACTTATTATCTGTATAGTTCTCAATCTTTTTTCTTAGTTTAATTGAAATAAGAATGGATAATAACGTTTAGTGCGTATTAGTATAAAAAAAATTTATATGGTAAAATTGTCTTCATTATGATATAAGTGCTTTGTTCAGTGATTTAATAATTGACACTAGAAAATAAGAGAGGGAGTTAATTGTTAATTAATTTTGAATTTAGTGTTTAAGATATTACGTTTCATGAGGAATAGAATGTACGCTAAACTAATAATGCACATAAGCGGAACCATTCATTATTTAAATACTATATTCAATCATGTGAACTCAGAATCTTAGAGATATCTTGATAATAAATTCCAATTTTAAATAAGTAATTAATGAAAACACTATCGAATTGTTTCCCCTTAAATCAGAAACAAATCTATGTGTACGCTGAATCATTAAGAGTTGTAAATACAACTTCAAAATTTATCAAATAAAGTTCTCTCACCTAATAATATCTACCAAAAACTATGAATCAGTTAATGGGTTAAGTCACCAAAGAAGCTCTAACATCAATTACGATTTCAAAGATGCATCCAAATGTTTCCCGTGATATACTTACTGTCATTATTTGATAGATGTACTATAATATACACTTTACTAAATAATTATGCACATTTCGTGTAGATAACTCAGAGGGCTGTATATTATAATTCATAACACAAGTGATTTTTAATACTTTAAACAAGTGTACTTATTCAGTGCTAATGAAAGTCATCGAAATTATAGTTAGCCAATCAGATGAAATATTATCCACTAGAATAAAATCAACATGGGGCTACTACTGTTATGAACGAGAACACCAATGGACATAATCAAATGTGTTTAAATACATCACAGAATATCTTGATACAATATGAGAACCATACAATAAATACTTCATTTGCAAAATATCTGTCAATTGTCTCAGACTTTGTTGTTCCTTCGTTTCTATACCAATCACTCTCTGTTCTCATTCTCTTCTCTACGATTTTCTCAACAGTCTGCCATCGGGTATTCCACTTCCGACTGACGATGAATACTACTTACATTTGTCAACATCAGTAGCACACACCACACTACTATTGCAACTACTACTAAGAATAATAATAATAATCCATTAATTAAATCACATGTAATGACTCCAATATGAACATTTCATATATAAACATTTGAAATTGAAAAGTCAACAAATAGTTATCTTAATATTTGGATTGTTTCTTCAAATGCGATTCATAGTAATTTTCACAGTAATCATTAAGATCATTAAATTGGTTCCTATAATTTTTAGATATCGTTGTCTACGTTGTCTAAATTTTGACATGTGTCAGCAATGCTTTTTCGCTGGAAGAACATCTCGAAATCATAAGCTTACGCATCCAATGCAAGAGTATTGTAGTCATGTAAGTCGGTTTTTATTTCTTTGTTTTTTTTTTTTCATTTAGATGATTAGAAGCTCTCAGCTTTTAAACTGTTACATATATAAACACTGGATGAAGGTCATAATTATATCTGAACGAATTTAAGTTGTATAAGTATGATCATTTCTTGGTTCCGAATATGAGAAAGTTTAGGTTTTTAGAATCTATTTATCTGGTACAAATAGTGTTTTCCTGAGTCAATAAATCAAGGAGATTAAGAAAACCCCATTTCAATATCCGTGAATAACTCCTTAATATTCGACATACATTTATGCACTTTAGAAGTGTATTCCGGTGTATAAACAAGTAATTTGTCTCCATGAATGAATGATTGATTTAATTCAGTTTATTAATAAAATGAGTGAAAGAATTACATTGAAAGTTAACTGTAGTTAAAACTAACCAATTATAATACATGTGATCATTTACAATCATGAAGAGAATGACATTCAATGAGACGTACACATCCTCCTTATAAATCAGTCAACAGTTAATACACTATACTGTGATCATTAAACACTTCATTTAAGTTATTTACACTTCATAATTGTTCAACATTCATAATGTAATTCCTAAGTACTGTGTACAATACGATGTGACCTTATAGTGTGTATAGAAACACTCAATCATAAGAAACTGTATTGATTTTGGTAAAGAATACTAAAATGCAATAATTTTTCAAAGATTTTTCTCATTTCATTTCCCATATACTAAACATAATGCTTTTTTTAAAGTGTAAAATATTAACTTCGATTTCGTTTCATTTTTTTTCTTTTACCCCTTAACTATCTTCCGTATCAATTAACATTCATCAACATCATCATTGTAGTCTACATCTACAGATTCATTTAAAGATTTTACACGAATTGTAAGAAATCGTTTTCGATCCAGAGATCGTTTAAATGATGAAAATGAACGTCGTAAAATTAATAATACAAATGGTCAAAAAGTCAGACGATCCAGTACAAGTCGTACAAGATGTAAACGTAATAGTTTGAATAGTTTTGATGAAGAGTATGTCTTATTTGAATAATATTGTTTTTCTTTTGTTTTTAAATCATAATATGATTATTTTCTGAATTATAATGTTTATTAAAATATTATTATTAGTCGTAGAATATATTCTATAACATGTTCAATCTAATAAATTAAGCCAAGAAACTTTTATACTGTGAACTGATCCTACACACAACTTATTTAGTTTATAATCAATACTAATATAAATTTTAATGTTTCAATGTATTTTGTAATTTCATCTATTAAACTTAAAGAAGTAAAAAATACAACTGGTTTATTACAAGTTTTTGTTTGAAACAGTCGGTCTATAAGGTCTCACCATATTTCCCTAATTCAACATTAAGTTCAACGATTTTTATGACATAGAAATACTGAGTGAACAGATTCTTTCCAAATTGATTCTATATGAGTATTATGGTTTGATGATTTGAATATTGTGAGTAAATAGAAAAAATAATTATACTTGCGAGGTGGGATCCATAGATGCCCACTGCTGAGAAGTTCCACAATAGGACGAAACGGCCGTCCAGTGCTTCCAGGTTTTCCATGGTGGTCTAGCTTCAATTGATTCATGATATCAACAGTTGAAATTGCTAACATCTCCACAAAACCCCCTTCTGTTCATCATAAATCTTTTAAGAAGCAAAGTGAGATTAGAATGTTGCTTCGTTTTTAAATTAATAATTCTTCACTGGCGGTCACTTTATTAACATATTGCGATCTAGAGAGAAAAAGAGGTAAGTTTTTTATAGAGCATATAATCATGTAATAACATGGTATAAAATGATGATTTAAAAAGAAAGGAAACTGATCATTAGATGCTTTTTCATTGAACACAGATTTCATTGGGAGTTGATTCGTTGAATTTGTATATCTTTGATTACTTTTATTGTATAAACAATTCAGATAACATTGAGATATTAGAACGTTCAGTATGAAATGCTTGCATAGTATACTTTAGAAATGTTAATCATCAAACAAACCGTCAGTGAAGGAAGTAAATGAATTTATTGTTATATATATATATTTAACTTGGCAGCCAAACTTAATTTGTCGATTACTGAATAGGTTTACATATAGTGCATACATTTAATGCAATAAGTAGGTAAACAAACATACATGTATTCCCACGTCTATAAAAATGTAAATATATGATAGTTAATAACTGATCATATTAGAATAAATGAAATATAATTAATGGGATTAAAATTGACACATTTACTTGTCAGACATTTTACTTGTTCAGACAAGTATAGATTTGCACAGAGATGTATATTGTGAAACCGCTACACATCACAAAGAATGTAAATAATTCAGTAAGAAATATCACAGTTGATTGTAAAACCAAGAAAAAGTTCTTAGAATTGTAACCAATCTCCGGTTTGTCTTAATATCTAGATTTAATAATTTGTAGTATATTTTGTATCCGATATAGCTATGAGTTTTGATATCTCGCTATAAACGTTTTCATCATTATACATTTCATAGTTATCTACATTGATTTTTTCAAAAGTTCTTGATTATCAATACAAAGCTTAGAAAAAGCTGGAAAAGTTCTGATGTTTATTTAATTATGATCAATAAAAAACTCAACTTTCATTGTCATTTCTTTTCGACTAACAGTAAACCTCGTCCAGCACCAACTTACAGTCAAGATCCATTCTCTGATTTTGCAGAATATCAAAATTTAGACACTCCGTTTGTTAATGATCAGAAATGCCCATATCGAAATTCGATCTCGAATACACAATCAGCTCAACATTATTTTCTGAACGAGACAAGTAATAATTACAACAACAACAATAATAATAATCAACATCCTATTCCAAGTTGTAGACCATTATCAAATGTAGCTATGCCTTCAAATCAATATTCAATGCCACCGCGTGCATCTTCTGATACTCAATCATCAATGTCTAGACAGAAAAATATCAATACGAAC